TGCCTAGTGATCCAACTTTCCCAACAAAGCCTGCAAGTCCGTCATTCTGGATTCTTGGGATGCTCATTTGCACCTTTGCGTCGTTTTTCTCGCCCGTTACTCAAGCCAGCATTTTCGCATGTTACCCTTATAAAATGACACATTTTGGCAGCGTGCAGCCCTCTAACGTTAGCGCGCTGCATATCACAATGATGCATCGGGCGGGTGCATAATTACGTTGACATTTTCGTCGATTGGATCACGATGTTGCCTCCTTGTATCTTTGTCAACAGCATGTTTGCCGTCCTTCTGAGCCTTTGGCCATGTCTTCGCACAGCGCATCCCCTGAATTCTGGACCACACGGGGCGCCAGCTCACGCAATGATCATAAGCATCTGCAAAGGGCGGCGGTCCATTCTGGCTGTCATCCCCGGAGATAGCGCAGCAAAATCACCCTCAAACGGACAGCTGAGCCATGTCGACAGCCTCAGCACCACGTCAGTTGAGGGTTCATGGAACGACCAAACCTTTGCACATTTCGCCAGCTGGCTCTTCATGAAGAACAGCTTGTCGCGCCGACAACGACCAGCAAAAGCAGCAGCGACAGCAAGGAGAAGCTTCAAACGGGTAGCAAACGTCCCAATGACAGCCAGCCATGCAAATGCGCTCGTAGAACCTCTCACAGCTGCAGCTCAGAGCGCCTCAACCGGTCGCAACTGCTCCTCAACGGTCGGCGAAGTCAAAACGGAAGTCAGGACCACGGGTTCGGGCTGCCTTGTCCACAGCACGTCGGTGTATGACACGAGAAACGCTTTTCTCCGCCTCGACAAGGCTGTGCAGCGACGAGACTTGGGAAGTTTTGGCTAGCAACTAGACCACACCGGAGGTGCTGGTCTTGAACGGCAAGGAAACGCCTTGAAAACACCGTCTAGACTGGCCGCGGCCTTCGAAAAGTTCGAGCGCTATTGCGCTCAGCCCGTGACGAACATTGAGCGCACGGCCAAGGGAGTCGGGCAGCCAGGCCGAACGCCTAGACCGCCGTGCGAGACACAAACGGACCCCACGCAGTCGTTCTTACAGCTGCCATGCCGAGTGCAACAATGGAGAGTCCCCCACGGCCCTGTCCGCGCCCCTAATACTTGTAACCTCCCCCGAGTTTGAAATGCCCCCCCATATGAAACAGCATCTTTTGATTCCGCGGAATCTTTCCGCCACACTCCCGTGTCACCACAAATCACTCCGGTGCGCCCCGCTTCCCGGCCACGTAAAGCCCCACGAGGCCATCTTTTGCCATCAACAGCTACGTGGCGGCCTCCGCGCCCCTCCTGAACCCGTCTCACAAGGTCCTATGGCAGGTTGCACAGCTCCCCCCCTCCCCATCGAAACGGCACCATCGCACATAAAATGCCATATCTTGCTCACTAAGGATCCGTTTGAGGTGAAATCTTTTGCAAACGATTTCTTTGAAACACCTCTACATAAATTGGGATGGCAACAGCATGCTGCAAGTCTGACTTGCAACTGATTGTTCTTTTCAAATCCAGATTCGGTCAACTTTCACAAATCCATTTTTCTGACTGATGGCACAAAACCTTCCGTGACAAACCATCTTGCTCTGAGCTAGGGGCACACTTCTGAGCAGCTTGCATGCCACATGACGCCAGAATTGTCTAGCACCATGCCCGGATGACAAATCCAGTTGCAGTACATTGCATGCCTCTCGCATCACCCCTGCGACCTCCCATTCCACACATCCACGGCGCCCACGCTCGCTCAAACTCACGGCGATCCGCCACACAGCCGACCACGCAGAGGGAAAGGCCTGCCCGTTCGCCCCCCACCCCCCCACCCCCACCCCCACCCCCACCCCCACCCAGCAACTTCGACCTCGATCCGTCTCAATCGGCAATTCGGCCGTGTGTCTGCCATCCTCCATCGGCAGCACCATGGCCAGCCACGGCCGTCCCGGCTCGATCAACGGGCATTGCTCGGAAAGACCGACGCAGCCCGACTCGCCAAGCCTTTCTGCGTCCAATGCGCCCAGTCACGCACGGCTGTACCCCTTGCCAATGCAAACGCACGTGCCCAACAGCGACCTGGGTGCTTCTCAGTACCTCATGGTGTTTTCCAAACGTGTCTGACACTGGTGTGCTCGTGACGCGCGCTGCCACGTACTGGAGCTGTGTCCAGCATCACAACTGCATTGCTTTTGTTCTTTTGGGCATATAGTGAGGCTAACGTGATCTCTCTTTGTCACTGAAGTCATCTCCTTGCATTATGAGTGCCTTGGGCTTGGGTTGCTAGAAAATTCTGGAGCACCCCTAATTGATGTTTTGGGGTTTCCGCTGGTCGGGCTCCTTGTCCCACCCAGGTCCACACACACACTGGACCAATACATTACACGACATTGTTTGTCCCAATACAACCCGAGGTACCCACAACTTTGTGTGCCCAGTCGCTTTGCTAGTAGTTAAGCCAGTCCCATCCAAAACTCAACCCTTGAGTCAGACCCACCACTCCCGTTCCAACATCCTTAACTCCCACACTTGCCCATCTCAACCGAACATCACCCTACTAGGGGCGGCCGGGTGGGAAGCGAAACAAGATAAGGTGGGGACCGAGGGGTGAGCCTAAGTAGCCTCCCCGCTCGCGCCCACCAAAGCCCGCCACTCCCAAGGGCACCAAAAACCACTGGCCCTCCTTGAACGCAACGAACCAGCCACCAACCCAAGGTACAGGGGGACAGAAACCCCAAGGGGCCGCCAAAACCATTGTACTTAAAGCAGCGCTGGCCCAAGTAGGCCAGCGCGCCCGCCCCTCGTCGCCCTGGGCGGAAACCCCTTAACAAGATAGTTAATCTCATTTCTGCCTCATTGAGCGCCAAGCTACTGGATGGAAATCAGTGTGACGAAGGTGCTGAGGCTGTCGACATCCTCTTTGCATCACTTCTGGATCTCACTCGTCGCCAGCTGAGTGATATCCTTAACTTACTAATTTTTTTGATGAGCCCCATTTATTGGCGACCCGAACACATCTAATTTTTCAATGTAAGCTGCAACTGGAGCCTCCAACAATTGTGAACATAATCGTACATAAGGCAAGGGTAGGCACAGACTGCGGTGTGGCATGGTCGTTGGCAGTCTGTCGCACATCGTTTTGACAGCACGAGGAAGCTGATGGCCGCCTCCTTGCTGTGTACAACGTCATGATGATGAAGATGACAGCATGTGGAAACTGTGCAAGGGAGCTGTCAGTGACAAATTCTCAGGGTGTGCATCAACACCCCAGCCATGGCTTCAATCATGGTTTGGCACACATCTACCGTGCGGTCAGCTCGCCAGGAGCGGCAACCTTTGTCGATGCCGAAAGCGCCAACCGCCGTCAGCGTTTATTCGGTTGCAACGTGATAACAGCAACGCCAGCTAAATTGGCAACAAGACCGGCCGATCCCACCCCGCCCTCGGGCGGGACGGCTAGTAGACCAGCGTTGTACTGAACATCGCTCACATTTCGCCTGTTTTCCCGCACGCTGGCACACATCTCGCCTGTCCGCCCAGCCCTCGGGCTACATCTAGCCCATGTATCCGATGTATCCGATTCACATCCTATTGGCGTTGGTGACCTTCGGCAGAGGCCCGTGCGCGACTACAGCGCTCTGGACGCCCCATGCCGTGCAAAGGCAGCCGGTTGCCATCGCTTCAGGGGGGGAAACGGCACCAGCCAAGGGTGCAATCCGCATCCCGCTACTTGAGGCCAAGCTCTCCTCTTGATGCAAATTTACACACTGATTATCTAGACACAGCGATGAGGCGCGACGCTCACACAGCTCCCACTGCGCATGCACTTGACCAATTTGAGCCCGATTCCCCGCTGCCAGTGCTGCAGCCACGAAAGCTTGTGCCACAATTTGACGATGGTGGCCTCGCCGGGACGGCGCCGCAGCTGCGGCCCTGCACGCAGCACACTGCGCCACGGACGCCCCTTGTGATGAGCGCAATTCGCGTGAACGCCTTGTGCAAGCAACCGGGTCGTTGCGCTCTGCTGACCCGCAACCGCAGCCGACGCCTGCAAGTCAGCCTCGGAAATTATGATGCCTCAATTTCATGTCTTTCAGCCATGCAATCCCTCCTAGCGGGGGCGTTTGTCCATATCACCTTGTTCAGTCCGTCCTTGCCATCTCTTCTATTGGTGAACAGCAGCATGGCTTGCCCACTCGATTCGACGTTTCAGTATCCTATTTTATATCAACCTCACCAATGCCCGCGAAACCACCCACCCGCACACACACAGACAGACACACACGCACACACAGAGACACAGACACACATACGACGCTTGCCAACTTGACAGCCGTCTCGCAGCAATGGCAATGGATCCAATTATGAGGAAGCTTATCTGCCCTATTCGTGAGACCAGAGATGGCAACATTCAAATGGCAGCAAAAAATTAGGACCTCAAATAGTTCAGTGCCGTCGACGGCCGCGCCTACACATTCGCTACATCACTAAGGCTGCCAACCCATCCAATCAAGAACGTTCCTACTCCTACAGCTTGTCCGCCTGCAAGCCCAAACAAAAGATCACTGGCAGAGACGCAGGGCCAAGCGTTGAGAGCCGCCCAGCCGTCGACCCTTCCATGCCCAGCAATGCCCACACACACACACATACGGTGGATGATAGCACCACAGGACGTCACAGGCGGTCACTCACACTCCATGCCACAACTGACATCCGTCTACTGACAATGCTGCCCAGACAAATGTGACACAATCCCATCTGACCCGACAAAAGGCAGGCCCCCCCCCAACACACACACCTGCCATGGCAGTCTGCAGGCGCGCGCTGCTCCACCCTGCGACTGCTCACGCAGATCAGATTCGCAAAAATATAGCCCTATACCCACATCTGTCCGCAGCTACGTGCCTCAAAATTCTGACTCGTTCAGGCTTTCTTCGAGCCTCACCGATCCTCTCGACATCGTGACTCCCGGAATCCCAACCTACCCATCCCCCGCGCCCCCCATCAGCGCATGCCCCACGAGTTGGCCAGCACCTCGTGCACCTTGCCCAGCTGAAACAGACCCTCCACTGTCACGCTCTCGCCTTCCCGCTTCCACATCACCTCCCTCAGCTGCTGCTTCTCCTTCGGGTGTCGCGCAAAGTAGTTGAACACCTCCTCCTTGGACAGCACCTTGACGGTGGTCTTTGTGAGCGCCCGCACCGTTGCCGTGCGTGTCGCCTCCCGAGAGAACAGCGCCATCTCCCCAACCACGTCTCCGCCGCTGCGCGTGCCCACGTGGAGGCCAAAGGGGCTCCTGTCGAGCGTGCGTATGAATTTTATGGCGTTGGAAGAGGCGCTGACGAGGGTCTGGCGAGCTTGCCGGTCGTCCTCTGTGAGGGCCACCGAAGAGGCGCTGTCGGAGGAGTTCATGAGGGGGTCCCCGCTGTCCGTGGAGCCCCGCTTGCGATTGGAGGAGTGGCTCCGGCCGGTGCGGCGGGCCGGCATCGAGCACTTCAGGAGGACTTCGACCTTGCCGTTTATGATGTACAGCATGAAGCTCCCTGTGTTACGCATGGCGTTGTCGCCAAACACGAAGTCAGGGCTCGCTGTGGTCCAAAGAGTTTCTGGAAGCAACAATGTGGACGGAAACACTGCTCTGGGTTGAAGGAAACTGTACCTCAGTTTGGACACAGGCAGCAGGCAGATTGGCAGCGGACCTTGTCCAGTCAGAGTTCCACACCATGTCGTACGAGCATGGAATTCTTGACCATGGCAAGTGATTAATGAAACCTGTTGATGCGCCTGTATAGCATCCAGTAACTCACTGGCAAGCACGGCCTGTGAATCTGCATTCTGATGTGCAAACGAAGATCACATCTGCCACAGCCCCCACACCTGTGTCTCCCTGCCTCAGAAGAATCTCTGACTCCTCAAATGTCCTTTCCCGCACACTCTGCTTCGCAAGTTTGGCAACGAAGTCCCTGACCTTGTGAGCATTATTTTCTTGAGCAGCATTTGCATAAGGGTCGCTGTGCGGTGTCCACCTGGGCAGCGGATAACGCCCATTCCCCGTCACCCATGGATGGTGCCGAACCTCCAAAAGGGTAATTCGCTCCTTGGGGTTCTGCGACACGGAAAAACGGTCAGTAGTGCCAGTGCAACATGCCATTGTTCTGCCACTGGACAAGAGCACAGACCGCTGCACCTGCAAGGCCATTTTGCAACATGCACATCCCACAAGAAGCCAAGTGTGTTTCAGTCATTCAATTCAGCAATGGCGATGCAGCACCACCACCCACAAAGAAAAATGTGATTCATATCTGAAACAGGAACACAAAACGTTGATCCGACGATGGTGATGCTGCACAGGCGGCGCTCCACAGAGGCAGGTGCGTTGGCAGTCTGCATGTGCCGCACCTTTGTGAGGAGCCTGTTCAACAGGTCCTTGAGACTGTCAGAGACATGCACGTTCTCAGGAAACGACACGTTCTCATTCTGCACCACCTGGAAGAGCTGGTACAGATTTGGGGCCGTGAATGGTATCCTTCCAAATACCAGTGTGTACAAGCAGGCGCCCATGGCGTATATGTCCGTTGGTCGACCCCTGGTATGCAGTGGGGCAAGACTGTCAGTTGTGTGTGCATGTGCGACTTTCTGCACACGGTTAGGTGAGAAAGGCAGAGTGGAGGAGCGGTGGGCTGGTCAGAAAGAAATCCCCTGCAGCTGTCCCCAGGAAGTGAAATGTACAGCCACAGCCACTTGCCAGTGCACAACACAGGTTGTGACCAAGGTGCTCTGAAAATATCCCTCTGCAACACTCGTGTGACTGTCCTCCCGGCAATGGCAATTTTGAATACAAATACACGTTAGACCAAGTCTCTCAGAAACTGCAACTGATCCTCTTGAGGTGCCCAATGATTCACACTGACTCTGTGCAAAACAGTGACGCCTTCAAGTGTGCACTGTATCCCAGGAAATGGCAGCAAACAGCAATGGCCCAGACAGACGGCATCACAAGAGGCAATGTTACACTCCAGGTGCACATTTACACAAATCAAGCACAACAAGAAAACAGTGACATGGAACCACTGTAGAGTGCAAAGGGCTAGCGCACGCATCCTTGCCGGCATACTATCTGCCGGGAACGGAAGCAGCAGCAAAGCATACCTGTATCTGCTGTTCGGTTTCATCATTTCTGGAGCAAGGAAGGCAGGAGTACCATTGCACCTTTCCAGGTACTCGTTTCCGCTGACTATGACTTTCGAGCAGCCAAAGTCACTGAGCTTGACTTCCCCATGTGCCGAAACCAGTACGTTCTCTGGTTTCAAGTCGCCGTGGACAACCCGCTGACTGTGTAGGTAGTCAAGAGCCTGCAGGACGACAGACACAGTAGAACTAAACAGCCGTGCACATTCTGTGGAGTGCACCTTGAACATTGATCCTGCGGCACCAAGTACCTGGCGTCTTGACTGATTCCTTTGCAGCCGAAAATGAAGGTGCCAATGCTGCAGCATTTCAACAGTGGCAGTGTTTTCAGGTTTCTGGTGATGCGGCACCAAGTACCTGGTGCCTTGACTGATTCCTTTGCAGCCGAAAATGAAGGTGCCAATGCTGCAGCATTTCAACAGTGGCAGTGTTTTCAGGTTTCTGGTGATGATGTTTAAGAAAGCCACATTTCCAATAGCATCCTTGACCACATACACACACACTAGCACAGCGTGTACTGCTCTGCACAGCAGCTGTGCAACTGCAACACGATCTTTCTTGGGTTCTCATTCTTGTGTCCGTGATCATCACAGCAGGACAGTGCTCCTGTAATGAGGTCCCTTTCAAGAGCAAATATGAGCCTCTCAGCCACACCAACACAATGTGAAAATTGCTGATTACCTTGCAAACAGGCTGCAACACTGTACATCCTACATCATGAGAGGCACCATGGACTTCACTTACCCTGACCATGTCCTTGAAGTAACGTGCAACCAGCTCCTCAGGGAGCCTCTCGCAACGCTCCAGTGATTCCCTGGTCATGACTGGCCCTCCCTCCATGTACTCCATTACCAGGAGGAGTTTGCTGCCAGAAGGGTCGTCGATCACCTCTGTCAATGTAACGATGTTTGGGTGCTTCATTTTCTTCATGATCATGATCTCCCTCTTCAGGTCCTCCATTGGATTGCGCTTCTGTGCCTGGTTGCGTGATGTTTGAAGGTCTGACTTGCGCACAGCCTGCACAGAGCACACAAGGTGAAGGCAAGTTCCCACAACTGCCAAACAAACGTGAACATCTTGCAGCCAGAACTTCCACCCCCACAAAAAACCCCTGCAGGATGCATTTCAAGCAGCACACACCCCCAAAGCGAATAGTCAGTGGAGGCAGACTTGTGGGTGGCACTACAATATTGCACGCATTGAATGCATTCTGAAGCATGTGCTGACAGGCGCACAGGCAGTGCTTTGCATAATGGCCAATGTGATCAAAGTTGCTGCTGCTGAAATCCGCTTTACCAAATGATCCAAAACTTCACATCGGCACAGGTCCTACTCTGCATGCTTGTTGTCCACAGCAGGCAAAGCGAGCAAACACACAACTCGAACAGATCTAGCTTGTGATTATTTTTGGAGCACAGATGAGGCAAAAAGGCGTCAGCCAGTACCTTCATCGCGTAGAGCCTCGAGTCCTGCACATTCAAACAGAGGAACACCTTTCCGCAAGCCCCACGGCCAAGGTATTTCACCACCAAGTATTGGTTTACAAACATACACCCCTTCACTTTCTCTATTCGCAGTAATGGCGTTTCCCTGCACAGTGAAAACACAGTCCCATTTTAAGGCAATCGTCCTTAGTGGCCATCATGCAGCACAGGTCTTCGATTAGAAGGCATTGTGTCCCAGCACAGGGTGACCATAGCTATCCTTGCAAGAATCCCAAATCCAAAGGGCCCAGATCTCCTCAGCAGCCAAGCAGCATTCTTCACAGCCACAATTAACTCAAACGGGCGTGGAAAGTTGTAGTATCAATCGTACACTGCCCTCCAACAGTCATCAAGGCATCTGGCAATGACTGTTACTGTCACCTGTAATTCGATGCTGGAGGATCTTCAAGCCCTGCCGAAGACTTTGAGCCTAATAAGGAATTCTGGAAGGCCTTGTCTACAACACTGCTTCCCTGTGTGTCGACTTGTGAGGGGTCCACTGTAGCAGCCACACAACAGCTTTACAACACGTCCCTGGCCTTGACAAGAAGGTGGGAAAAATCCAACAGTCACCAGATGGCTTGGTGAATGGAGGCCTCCAAATCATTTTCTGAGCTATGGCTGTCAAAAGCGTGCCCAAGGGTGGCAACCTGGACACCACCATAAGGCCAAACACCATTGAAATGCATGTGCATTGGACTTTGCAGTCCAGCACGACAACAGCATAGTTGGGTGTGTGAACTGTCCTGTAGACAACCCAACATCATTGTTGCCTGCCTGCAGCAGCACTGCACACACCAGCTGTGGCGGTACCGGCCAGTGCTGAGCATTGAAAGCCTCACAGCGTCCAGTGAACGATGCAGCTGTGCACCACCACAGCTCTCAGGGGGTGGCTCCTGGTGTTGGTTGCTGGCATTTCTGATTGAGCACCCAATGCATTCTCTTTTGGATGGAAGACTCAGCAGATATGGAAAAAGATGGTGATTCCAAACAGGCAAGATGTCATTGTTAAATCTTCCAACTCTGTTGAAATAGTACTGCCGCCTGGTTAGTTTCCAGTCTCCATTCCAACGACATCCAGTCAAAGGAGATGCCACACATACCAACGTGGTCCCGGCCCATTGTTTTAACTGTACGACCTCACTTGCTCAGCACGGTGTTCCCAACCAGACACACCCCTCACAGCTGAGCGTCGCTCCCATTGTGCACCTCGTGCATGTGGCCACGCCGCTGTGGGCCTGACGTGCGCACAGTCCCGCTGCCATGGATCCGATGCATGTGAACAGCCACAGCACCAAAGCCTTGGAAGCCAGAGCGCTCGCCAACCGCCCAACGGCAGAGGGCCGCCGCCGCGCGAGTCCCTTACCGCCGATCTGCGCCTCCTCGACGTCGTCCAAGTTGAACACGGTCTCGCAGTTGTCCCAGTCCCCGTCCTCCGCCGTGTCGCTGATGTGCCTCTGCGGCTCGTGCGAGGGCCGTGCGCTCTTCTGCCGGCTGCTCCGCTGGCCTGCGGCGAACGGGACGCCCGCACACGGACAAAATCACGCGGACGAATGGCTCTCCCGAATCGAGATCAGCTGAGACGCCGAAGCGGGGCCGGAGGCGGGCAGGCCGTGCCCCGCCGGCCGTTCTGCCCCGGCTCTGAACCCCCAATCGACGACAAACTCCCGACAAGCGAATGAGAACGCAAACTGCGCCCTTGGCGAGCCGCGGTGAGCCTCCCGAGAGCGCCTCGATCGGCTGACCGGCCCACGGCGGGGCGGCCGCGCCGCTCGTGGGGACCCTGGGCGATCCGCATCGGACGCCTCGGCGGCGCGGCCTCACCTTCCGACGTCGAGTTCCTGGGCCGGCGGTGCGCGTCGGCGGAGGGCTGCTGCGCGGGCCGCGGCAGGGGCTTGGGGCCGTGGGCACCGTGCCTGGTGCCCCCCTTGGGCGTCTCCAGGGCCCCGGGGAGGGCGGGCGGGTGGCCATGCAGAGCGCCGGGCTTGGGTGGCGCGTAGGACGCACTGCGGGACAGCCAAACCGGAAGGCACAGGATGTCATCAGCAGCCACAACGGGGCGCCCACGCCCGAGGGGAACAGGCCTCCGGGCGCGCCATCGCGGGACAGACGTCCGGCCTTGACTACCCGCCACATCGTTCGGGGACTCCCCGCCGGGCTGCGCGCGGGGAGGCCGCGCGGGCGATCGGCGGTACGAGGGGGCCGCCGGTCGCCCCGCCCGGCGCAGGCGGGGACGCTCGTACCGCGCCGATGCGCGCCCGCGACCGCGAAGCGGCTCCGCCCAATGTCGGCAACCGCTTCTCTCCGCTCTATCAGCTCGGCCCGCTGGCCGCGGCGCCGGCGCGCGCGGCACGGGGTCCGCGGGCGCCGGCAGCGTGGCACGGGCACCGCCCACAATCTTCGACCCCAACCGCCCCCGAGGGCCGGCGCAAGCAATTCACGGACATGCGCGGTTCCCCCCCCCCCCCTCTCTTCCCCGCCCCAGCCCCCAGCTCGCCAGAGTTTTCAGCCCCTCCCAGCACCACCATGCGCCCAATGCTGCCACCACCCTAACCCCCGCACACACGCGCCAACACCGCCTCGCAAGAAGCTCGGCATGGCTCTCCTCACCCCGGGTCATTGTCGGTGGGTGACAGGCCCTCCTTGCTGTATAAACACCCCATAAGATGACGCGCGGGCCGCTACCCAAGCATCGCTGTGCGCCCAGCTTGCGCTCATGCGTTGGAGGTCTGGGGGCGGCGCCGGTGATCGGCACGCGGGCCGGCCGTGCGGGCGCCTCGGCCGCTTGCGCTCCGCCACCGCGGCAGGGGGGGACGCTTTACCCTGCTGCCCCCAAGCGACGCTGGGAATAAAATAAACGCCCAAAAGCGCTCGGGGGCGGGCGTCCTGTACATTCGGCCACCATGGGCGGGGCCGGGGGGGGTGCGATTCGCTGGGGACCGAACGGATACGGTTGTGATGGCTTCGGGTCTGGCCAGAGGCAGAGGAGCCGGCGAGGCTCAGGGACTGGGGACCGACAACTGGCAGGTGGGGTCTGGCTCAGGGGTGCTGAGGGTCCACGTCGCGAGGCGGGGCCTGGGAAGCGCCCTTACTAATGCCCGTCATTCGGCTGGCTGCGCCGATCGGCGCCCATTACTAAGGGGCCGTCCGCCTGACAGGCCGGCGCGGGGCTCGTCCACAGTCACGCGGATGAGGCCCCAACCGGGCTTGGTCGTCGCCTTCCCGCTACAAAAAATGACCCTCAAAGGGGGTGGAACTACTTTGGTGGGGCCGTGGGCGCGCGGCCCGTGGCCGTGACGCACGGGAAGGGTCACCAACACCTCCTGCGGGTTAGGTCACCCACTCCCCCCGTGGGCGGTTGCCCGTCCGTCGACGCCAGAGGCCACTCAGCCCACTCATCCCGCCGGACTGCGCGCTCGCGCGGTTGACAAAGGGCCCCGGCGGAGCACCTGCCCAGGCCGATGGCCCGCCTCCAGCCAGAGGGGCCACGCAATTGGTTCATCAGGAATATCGTAGAAGCCCGGGCCGTTCCACGGGTGGTGTTGCGGGCGGTGACCGCGGGTGACGGCGGATTGGAAACGTCGCGACAGGGGGGCCGCAGCATCCAGCAACAGACGGGGGTTCACGCTGTCCTCCCGTGACGGCCACTCTGGGTGATGAAGTCTTTCCGGGCACTGCCGTGCCGGAACGTACGATTCCTGGGCGTCGAGGCGGCTTCGTCGGGGCGGATCCCCGCTACGGAATCGTGGGTTCCAGCTTCGAGGGCGCCGGAATCGCGTTTGTCTGGCGTCAGTGCACACAGATGGTGCCACCGAGCAGCTTGGACTTCAAGTCGATGGTAACGGAATGGCCACTGAGAACGCGCCTTGTCATTGATTGACATGGCCAGACTGCACCCAAAGTGGATGCACCAGTGGCATTGGGTCCACAAAGGAAAAATGTCATGAATCGTGTTTTGTAGAACACGTTTGTGTGATGACAATCTGCGTGGGTGCATATATGGTGCCACTGAGTAGCTTGGCATTCAAGTGGATGGTGATGGAACGACCCTTTAGTTAGAGCCTGGCAATGTCGATCAATGATATGGTGCACTCTAAAAATGGACGCAGCTGTGACAACGGGCCCACAAAGGTAAAAAATGTTGTTCAGGTACCTCTGCAGGTACGTGGCAGCGCAATCAGCGTGTGAACATTATCACCCGTTGCAAGTCAGTCCTGACGGCTCAGCGCACCAGTTCCTGATAACCGAATTGTCTTATTTATTTCCGCAAATCCCTGAATCGTGCAGTCAGTTTCATTGGCATCAGAAAAATTCGCTTTCCAAATTTGAAATGAATGTCATGGAAATTTTCGGCTGTACACAAAGCATGGAAGCTCTGAATTGTGCTCACAGAGCTCAACGGCCTACTGTACTGTTCACGAAAAGAGTCATGCATAACACTAGTGCAAAAGGTGGCCGTCCGACATGACAGCCCCCGGGACGAAAATCCACAAAGCGCCAAGCCTTCGCCTGTCCCGCCTTCGGGCTCGATTGGATTTGCGTCGAAGGGGACGAATGTGGGGACGCACAGCTCCCCTGCAGTCACGTCGCCAGCGATTCCACCACGGAAAGTCCAACTCAAACGGGCCTCCGGGCCTTGCACGTCCGGGCTCACGCAGAAATCCAAGCTTTGGGCGAGGAACACGCAGAAAGCCGCTTTGGTTCTCACAGAATCGCTTGGAAACCCGTGCACTCTCGAACGGCAAAAATGCAATGGGTGCGATCTGTCGATACCCCAGAGCAGGAGACCTCAAATTCCTGGCTGTGATGCCAATTTGGTCGGGCTGGGCGCCGCGGCCTGCGTGCAGGGGTCGCACACGTCGAGACTGTCAACAGGGTGCTTGCAACTTTATGAATTGTGGTCCGTCCCGTTCAGCCCCTCCGACACTGGCCACAGCAGCATGCGGCCTGCGACCCGCACACAGCACGGCAGCCACTCCCCAAATACCCTAGCCATGTGAGAAAGGGCAGTACAATATCAAATCTTTTACAATTTCTATCAGGTCACGTCCAAACATGGCAGCTCACATCATTCTCACTCTCCTTGCGCCTCGTACTCTACTATTCGCATCACATTTGAGCATGCTTCCGTAAACCTCACAGCATGTTCTACCAATCCTCACATACCCCCCTTGCAACGCTCAGGTGGACATCACTTCACTCCTTCGTAACCTTTCCAGCACACGCGCAGCACCACAATCGAATCTGAGCTGCGACCTCAAAGATTCGTAGGAATGTTCGTTCACACCCACGGCTCCTCCTGCCCTTTTCCCGTATTACAATGTACTACTCACAAACAACGTTGTGACGTCACAGCCACGCCACAAATCAGCACAGTGATATTTCTTGATTGAATTAAAGGGCTGATATACTCACCCAGTGCATCAGCAACAAAAGTCCATAAATTTCATGACCAAATTCATGGCCAGATTCCTGATGTTTGCATGCGTGGCAGGTCGCATCCCTATTGGGCTGTCAGAACTAATAGAACCACGTAAAATACATCTGCCTTAGGCAGAAGAATTGAAAAGCGATGGCATCGTACCTCGCCCTAGGTTGTTGCGAATAAATCGTGCATCTATCATCCAGAAAATCGACGCCATTTTGGCGTCTTCGGAGAGAGCAATCCTAAAGCTAGACCTGCTTCCAACAGCGACCTTGGTACTTCCTCAATCAATTAGATCAGTGTGGCAGACCTCCTGGTCACTGATGCCTTCAGCATAGGCTCACAGCTGTATCCACAAACTTCAAAGTCCGTGGCGACATTAATCAAACTGATTAATCACGTATTCGTGAAACTCGGCAGTGTAGTCATAAAACGCGTAGATTGCTTTTTACACGTTGTAGATTTGCTAGAACACGCACCAACACTTCTCTTGGGTCAGTCCCGGTTGGCCACCTTCGACAAAAACTGTGGCGGTCGTTGGCAAAGTCTTCCCTTCTGGGAAGGCGTTTACGACGCGCAATATCAGCCCTGCAGTCTCCCACTGGACGCCCACAATCGCTGCCCTGTCTGCCTTTGAGAGCAATCCGGTGGCAGTACATCATCTGTCCCTGCGAATCCCATCACCTGTCCCCGTGAGACCGTTGCTGCGTTGTGCCACCACCAGTGCTGGTGCCTCTCGTCGTTTGCACGTTCCGCAAGCCCCAATCCTGCACAGCCTTTGAGGCCTCCACCCGGCTCGTGGATCCATTGGCGACGATTCGCCACAAGTGGCAGCCATCGCCGGTCCCACCGATTGCCATGGGTGCTCGCAGCCTCTCAATCCCGATCGTTAGTGCGAACCAATCAACGAGCATTGCTGCGGCCAATCGGTGCAGATCCATCATTCCGGTAGTGTTGCGTTGTTCTAAGAGGTTCCCAAGTGAGGACGCAGCTTCACAAGCCAAGTGCGCACGTCCAAAAGGGTGGCGCCCGGAGCCCAGGGGGTCACGTCAATTCTTGGGATGGAGAACCTCTGTGGCATCGGTGTCATGTCCCATACCTTGGCAGAATTGGGCGCACATCGAGATACCCGTACGTCTTGTCACATTGTTGTATCCATATTCTTCCTTTATTCTGAAGTTCGTCCCTTTATAGGGCACTGATCCCTTTTTTCACTTACGTGCATTTTCTCCAATTACTATCCATCTTTTGAGGCTCACGGTTCGCCAGCTTGCTATAAATTTCATACCATATATTGGCGACCCGAACACTAGGAAAAAAGGGCCCACACAGCAAGTGCTCAAACGTGTACAAAATTTACGGATTTGGGTTGTTGCCATGTATAAAGCATGCAGAACACTAATGAAATGTATACATATGTGTTCGCAAAAAGGGTTGTATGGTCCTTTATCTGCTAGTGTGAATCATTCCTCATTTTCCTTGAAAGCCACATCGTGAGATTGGTATTCGCTGTCCAGATGTTCGTTAACGAAATGTTAACGCAATGTGTTAACAGTGGGAAGAAAGTCCTTCCCATAAAACTGTTCGATCCAACAAAAATTCAAACCATAACAATGCTGGCTGCGCTGAGCAAGCTGCTCTGAGTAGTGGCAGCCCAGTCCGTCCTCAACTTGTGGCCCGGGTTGATGGCCACAAGCAATAGTGGAGCGCAGTTCTGGGCCGCGGAAGTCAAACGGACGGCACTGTTCTGTTGCTGGTGCTGATGGACTGTCCGAAAAAATATGGACACCAACGGAATGCCACTGACGGCTCGGCAGGCCATCTAAACGAAGGCCCAACGATGGGTGGCGCCATTGAGACCGACGCGTTGGTAGACAGCTAATACATGCAATATGGACACGATCAACTAATTGGTTGTACGCACGTCAGTCACGCTTGTGCACATATTCAGGCTCTTATCAACCAACTGACACCTTCCTCGCCACTGAATCCCAGGGCGAAGCTCACGCAGCGCTGCCGCTTCGATGTGAGGCTTGCACGTTCTGCCACGCTCAAACGTGAAATTCGAAACAACTTTTCACGGAAGTAATGGCACAAGCAAGTACTTCACGTAGTGACCTTACATTGCCCCGCTCTTCTCAAAAAGTTAATCGTACTCTGTCAGTCCTCCATTATCATCAACACTGCCCATTGTTTTGCTCCGCTTACCGCCCTGGGGTGGGTTGGAACGGCGGTCAATTGTGCGCACAACGCACACCCCGCAGATGGGAGCCAGACACAACAGCATCACTGTGCCTTGGAGCACTTTAAAGCAGCGTGGCGCCGCAAGGATTTCGATGTTTGCCACAGACAGAGCGTTACTGGTGTTGCGACACCTTCACACGTTTTTTGACGCAGAATTTCGGCACTCCCACGTTTGACAGATCAGCAGGCTGTCACAAATTGTTTCGAGCGTCGACAGCCAAATGCATCAGATCGCAGAGCTCGCAAAAACAATGAACCAATCCGAAGGGCAGTTAGCACAAAATGGGGGTGGGGTGGGGTGGGGTGGGGTGGGGGGTGGGTTGACGCGTGAGAGAACCGTCAGATTTGCACCAAGATTGCTTGAGACAATCAGGAAACAAAAACGTCAGGCCTCACACTTGAGACGCTTCACCTCGACAGACTCTGTCAATTATTTCTTCCGCCCTTGAATTGACGATGGAAGCCATTGCCAATGGCTCCGGTCGGGCTGGACCGGTGTGCTGCATCCATTACAAGTCGTTGGTTCTCAAGGCAGTTGAATCAAGAAATTGCCAGGGAATTTTCTGAATTTTCGGCGCCCTTTTCTGTAGAGAGCCCGCTTGGATATATGTTGCAAGGCAATGTGATCAGAAGGGGGACAGTTGTTGTAGGCGCACCTGTCTCAGAAATGCTTTGTGGGATCAGTAGAGATCCGAAGACTTGAGAAAGTGGTAATTCTGATCATTATAAGCGGCAAGATTCTGGTGGTGGTGACTGTGGCTGTGACCATTGCTGTTGCTTTCACGGCGCTGGTAATGAAAAAAGGCGGGACTCTGAGTCAGGCTGGCTTAAGGATATGAGCATTTAGTGGGTAGTAAATCACCTAAAGTGAATTTCTGGCCCAACATCTCTGTCGATACGACGGCTGACAGTTGGCCATTGTAATTATGCCAAGCTCACGCTGCTTGCGTGCCTGGTTGTGAAGCTTTCTATAGCCCCACCATCCCATGCCCCGGGTCTTTGGCGCCATGAGTGCAGTTGGGCTATTGCCCGGGACATGTTGTGTTGGGTGTTTTGGCCCATGAATCAAAGGGAATTCCCTTCCAAGGGAACGACGCCCCACCCTCGCGCAAGTGGCCACATTGCCAATCCTGGTGCCGTGATTCGTGCTTTGCGTAGGCGGTATGTCAAAGGCGGGTGGGACACCGGGAAGCCCCAGGCCGCCTTCGCTGTCGGGGTGGCAGTGCCCAGGGGCCTGTGGGGCTACCTACAACTTCGCGGTTACTTTTGGATAACTTTTGGAAACTTTTAAAATGTTCACAGGGTACGATGCAGTTTACGGCGACCACCCCAAGGGCACTGTTTTGGAAGGCAAACACTTCCGCCCGCCCACCACGCTGTTGTGAACACCGGTGGGGGCCACACTTTTAGGCTCCGATACGACTACGATGCATCTGCCAATCTGTCAATCTTCCAAAATGTCACTGACCTGTCGTGCCACGTTGCCAAAAAGTCTGCTGGCTCCACTCATATTGCGCCTGGTGGCCTTCCCAGCCATGCGGTGCGCAGGCCGGCGGCTTCCAGGCGTCGTCACGGCGCCGTTACGCGGGGCCTTCACCAAAGCAAAGTTGCCAGCCTGCGCCGGGCCCCTGAACAGGTGAGCGGTTGGCATATTGGGTCCCTTGCCGCGGAGACAACCTGTTGCAGCTGCGCTGACGTGCGCGTTCAGCTTTGGGGAGTGCGATTGTCGTCCCCAGGGGCTCGACGCATTCGATTTCGTTGGGCCATATGCTCAATCGCCCGGGATTTGGGATTGGCAGCCAGTTGATGGAGTTGATGGTCAGTCGACATTGGACGCATTGAGAGGCACTGATGACGATCAGAAGGGCGATGCCCAAAACTGAGCTGCTCGACAGTCTGTTCGCGCGGAGATCAATGCGCACATTCCTCCGTTGAAGAGAAAATGTGGTTGCTGTTCAGCTGCCGCAATGGAGGAGCATTGAATCGTGGTCCAAGGGTGTACACTTTTGGACATTGTAATGATTCTAGACACAAATTCCATAGTAGTCCCGTAAATTGTTACCATTGCCGGAAGAGGCTTTCAAGATGGAGCGTTGGGCATTCAGTTGCCGCCCAGTTGTCAATCATGCGCGCCGTATTCTAGCAGGAGTCAAGGCAAGCAACAAGAACTTGTTGATGTCATTGTGTTTTGGAGCACCTCAAGAAAACAGAGGTTTTAACTGCGTGCCAAGACCACCCAAAAAATCTGCACTGGCTGGTTTTCACCTTTCCACATTTTGCTACCATGAGTGTTGCATATCCACAAATCATTGATTGACTGTTGCATTGAGGTTGATTCTTTGCCTTTCACCTTGCTATGCTGTGCATTGACAGTGTGATCACACAAGAACGCTATTTCAAGCCACACAAGTGGAAATTTGTGCATCTACAAAGTAGGATGTCATAATACCACACTGGGATTTCCAGCTTAACACTCATCAGCTTGCCCAAATTCAATGTTCAGCACCATGCGGTAGATCTAAGCAGTGCCTAGCAGAATATAGTATGTGGGAGCCATGTTTGTACTGTACTGTCCAAAGAAGACTGTAAACATATGCATTGCAAGCACATTTTGAGTACAACTTTTGCAATTCTGGGAGCTGCTTGTGTTCAATGCTGCAAACAAAATGGACAATTCGTTTTGTGTTCATTTTGAAATTTCCTGGAATCGGCTTGCAACGCACTGTCCAAGAATGGCCATCCTGATAGTATCGTGGTCCCAAACACCTCGATGCCACAAAACCCCAGTGTATCAAGGTGAAAATTGTTCAATCTGCAGGAAATAATTGTTCTTTCGCACTGACAGCTGCAGCTACAGTTTAGATGGCTTTCAATGTTCAGACCAACCACTTAATCTCACAAACAACCAACACAGCAGTAGTTCACATTGCAGATCCAAATGAGCAGGTCTGAAAAGTAGGCTTGATTCACCCATTGTTGTGTATTTTGGCCTATGAGGGAGATTGCCAGAAAGACGATTACACTGCTGAGAATGCTCTCAATCCTCCCTCCTGTATGTTATTTCAACATGCGTGGAGCAAGGGCTGCCAGCCGCTTCAGCTTTCCAGACAAATTTGGGCTGTTTGTCTTCACTTCATGCAAAACTGCTCTGGTAGTTCTCAGCTGCAGAGATTTAAAAGCTGACAGTTGTGCCTCTCCTTCACAATAGGCCAAAGCCACGATGTTGGCTATGGTGATGGAAATCATAGGTGATAGAAAATTGTTTCTTCTATACGCAGAGTAGCAGGTAGGCCCAGGAGAGTCAAGTGTTGCACAAAGTTGGAGCCGAATCTTTGGGTGGAACTTTCGTTAGTGTTTGCTCTTTTAACTGCATCCCTGTTGCAGGAAGAGGCGCAAGATCATGACGAGCGGCTGCTCAAGGAGGGGCATATCCAGAACCCTTTCCACCACATTTCCCCTCAAGAAGCCAAAGGTTCCACAAGAGTTGTGGGGGGCATGGAATGCAGTAAAGGGAGCGCTTACATGGAGGAGTGGTCAGAGCCACGGAGTGGTAATAAGAGTGGATCCAGGCGATTTCTTGTTGTGAAGACATGACTACTGATCTCACTTCGTGATGCAGTGCTTGGGTAGTTGGCTAAATTGCTGAGAACAGCATTCTTTGAAACAGATACTGTACAAAGGAATCTGTGCTGCAAGCAGCGATCGTCATCTTGTCCAGATGCTAATAGGTCCAATTATGCAGCAGACTGTTTTGTTCAGGTACAATACAACACCTAGGGCGATGATGGGTATACTTGCATACTGAAGTGGCACACCCTCAATGCACCAAATATCTCTGCGTCAAGCCTGTCAGGTGTCATTCCTGAATGTTGGAAGGCAGTCAGCCACCCTAGCAGGATGGGATGGTGGTCAAAGAAAAGATGAGATGCAACAGTTTTACGTTGAAAATGAAAGAAACCTACAGGTTTCCTGAAATGGAGATCCCATCTTTGACACAAAGCCACTGCACCATTCAAGCAACTGTGCTGCTGTTGTGGAGCTTTTGCAGCACAACAGATATTTGCCCATTTGTATGGTATTTGCGTATTTGCCCATTGCTCTGTTTCATTCCCTGCACCTTCAATGCGATGACTGCATATGAGGCCACTGCCTTATTGGCCTTTGCTCCATGCAGGTCGCTGAAGCAAGCAGCGCAGTAGCCGCACCATCACAACCGCTTTTCGATCCTTCAGGCATTGCTGCAAGACTTGACTACCAGCCAGAGCTGAAATGGTGGCAACTGTCATTGATTCTGGCTTCTTCTGCAGCCATTTGCACCACTGCCTACATTATGGCAATGCCCAGGAAATTCTCCCTGAGCTATGCTGTAGGGACAGGGATTCTCTTTGCAGCATTGATTTTTGTGCTGAGGAAGCTTGCCATAGAACAGCAGTACACGGTATGGCGTTGCTCTCTTTGTTTCATTGTGCATGGCAATAGATGCTGTTAAGTTGGAAGATTCATTGTGATCAAGACGAAAACATGTCGAATGATGAGCACCTCTTCCCTGAGGAAGATTGTTTGTGTTCAAGAGTCTTTTCCATTCTGTTAATTATGTGCAGATGTGTCTGGACGCAAGAGTAAAGCAGTCAGCCGTGCTGTTATAAAGTCAACAATCAGAGTTAGTGACTTTCATCTGCTGCAACGAGTGCACTTTGGTGACTGGGCCACAAAACCTGTGGCAGTATTTTTTGTGTAAATTGTTTGCCCCTGCTGTTCTGTTACTGTACTGGCTGCGACACTTTGCAGGCTCAACAACAGAGTGAAGAGGAGCTTGCGGACAGTGAAGGACTGTTTGGAAATTTTGAGGGGTTGCGGGTCCACTACAAATGCAAGATTGGAAGCAACAGCCCAACACTGGGGATGCATTTATATCATGGCTTTGGCGCCAACCTGTACTCCTGGGGGCCAGTTCATGCACGACTAGCGCAAAGCCTCAACGCCTGCGTCACAGCCCACGACACACCCGGTTTTGGCTTGACTTCAAGGTCGTGCCCAAGTCACTGACTGGCGATTCCTTGTTTCTTTATTAGCCTTGATGTTCTATCAGACGTTCAGCTTGAAATGCAGCACACATCTTTCCATTGGATTGTTTATAACAGCATGCAAGAATCTGTTGGCCCGATGCAGAGAGATTGCACCCTTGACACAGATGCAGCAACAACAAAGCACTGATGAATGGTGTGCACATTCAATGGTGTGTGATTGTCTGTTTGGTTGAATTTTCATTGAAGTTAGCTGGAATGGAAGTTGCTGCATGTTGTGGTGATACTCCATACTGGTTCTTTCCATTATCAATACAAATCAGCACCCTTCCATCTATTGGGCGGCGTTGGTCCCAGTGTCATGGCTGCTGGTGGGTATTACCTAACCAGGGCATACATCTAAATGGCCTGTGCTGTGCCAGACCTGCGAAGCTGTCTGCCTACTCGCTGGCAACTAGCGGTCGATTGGGCTGCTTGGTGCTGGAGAAAGAGGTTTCAAGTGCCCAGGGAGGACTTGAAGCTGGTACTCACGCCTCTGAGTCTTCAGATACATCAGCAAGGGCTGGCCTTGCAATGGATGCACCCACAATGCCAGAGCCACCCACATTGCAGCGGATTCTGGTTGGGCATTCGATGGGCAGTCTCAGTGTGGCACTGGATGTGGTGGACAATCCACACCAAGTCAAGGCCTTGGTGTTCAGTGCCCCTGCAATTCTGGCCCTGTCGTCATTTCGTTCACGATCCGACACAAACGACAAGGAGCCCCTGCTGCAGACCTCACAGTCAGGTCTGCAGTCAGCCAATGACACCTCAAACAGGCAGCCCCGACAAGCCCTGACTGGCCGCATCGCCGCAGTGCTGGCTGTGCTGTGGGGGACTGTCTGGCGGCAGTTGGTGTGGCTGTTCCTCTGGGTATCACAGCCTGTCTCTGTCTTTTCTCTCCGGTCTCTGGTTCGGTCCAGGGCATTTTGGAAGCGAGGCCTGGCGAATGCCTACTTTCAACCTGGCTACGAAGAGAGGCTCATCAACTCCTATAGGTATTCCAATGGGTGTGAACACGATTCGCACTTATTGTGCCGAATGAGACAAATCAGCGAGCTTGCAACTATGAGACCATTTAGGGCGCCATGGATGTCACGCATTCACAGTTTCTTTCCGCATAAAAGCTGCTGCTCTGGTTATCCTCACCTTTCCATCCAAATGGGGAAATTTCGTCCGTGTTTTTCCATCCCCAAGTAGCCAGTTGCCTTTTTTTGTTGGAAAATGGGTGAACCTTTCGTAGCTCTTCTTTGATTCCTGACGTGCTCCAGGAGGGAACCCAAAGAGGGCTGGCAACTTTGAGCTCCCTCTGCTCTAGTGCTGTGACATCGTGCAAACGCTCGCTGCTCTTTTGTGTGCTGCTTTGGGCCTCATGGCTGGTCTCTACATGTTGCGGAGCGCCCACCAGACAACTGCAGTGCAGACGCAGTCTCGCATAGTTTTAGGGCTGGTTACGCACCGCCAAGGGTCCACTTAACACCCAGTTGTTTCATGGCTGCAGGCTCCCTTCTCTTGTACGCGGCTGGGAATGGGGGCTTGTCAGGTTCACCCGATCCAGGCTTGAAAGAGGAAAGCAAAGCTTCGCTCAACGAGTCTCTGAAGCCTGGACGGGTCAGAAAGAACTTAGCACGGTACAGAGGATAGCAAACGTTGTGGAAAAACACAACATACCGGTGCTAATCGTGCATGGCGTGAATGACAAGATCATTCCTGTCAACAACAGCAGAAGACTGGCAACTTTGATTCCCGGGGCCAAACTTGTGGAGTATGCAGACTGTGGACATGTGCCGCATGAGGAGTATCCAGAAAGGTTTGTGGATGACGTGAAAGCTGTAGTGGCTGGCAGCTGAGCACCAGGGATCCGACAAGGACAATCTTGCCTGTGGAGGCCACAATTTCAGGGCTTGCAATCGATGGCACTTGGCAGCTTAGGGATCACCCCTGAAAACTCGTTTGAACCACTTTATTCCTGCAGGAAAACATCCTGCTATTCACTAGGAAGTGGAAAGGAGAGAATGCGTCTGTTTTGCAATGCTACTGTTAGGATAGTGGTGGATTCTGTGCATGCCCTTGGAAGCAAAATTCGGCTGTCAATAATCCATTGAGTGTGGATTCGGTTTCGGGGTGGCGCATTTGGGGAAGTTGCCCTGCATTGGAGATGCCAATACAGAGGATGAGAGCTGCGTTCTTTGATGCTGAAGCAGCTGAGGCGGCAATGACGACATGGGTACCCATTGGCGGTGATAAATATCTCAGTAGCGATGAGTATGTATTATGGACGGCTTGGATATATGACAATCTATAGACAATCACAACCAAACAATACGTGCACAATACGTAGAAGTTCAGGTGATGCAGTTTTCCAAACAATAAGCAACTAAATATTGATTTCCACAGTATCTCCTCCCTTGCGACCTATGGTATATGAGATGTATATGATGATATGGTATATGAGATGCGGCCTACTGAATTCCTTGTTGAACAATACAATGAGCGACATATGACCGACAGATACCAATTGACTGACTGCCATAACACCATGCTCCATTCAGGCCTTGACATGGACAACTGCTCATTGATGCAGAAAAGCGGGACAGCACATTGAACAGGACATGGGATAGAATCGACTGATTGATAATCAGCATAATGTAAATAGCGGCATGCTCAACGTCAAACGAAATTGTCTATTGACTAATGCAGGAATGCCAGAACTAAAAAGGAAATGCTGGTGCCGTCAGGATCAAGCGCTGTCAGAAATAATTGCAACAATGAACCAATGGTAGCTGCATTGCAAGACTTTCAGGTTAAGCAGCATCATTACGATGGACAGACTGATTTGCGAAAGGAACAGTACTACACGAGCCATAGCATACTTTGCGAAAATCGTGATCAAAGCTATTGGTGAGATCATTGAGACAAAATCCAAGACTCTCACACACGGTTGCTGCCAGGCCCGGGAAGCGAAGCCCTAGCCAGATGCATTGCAGAACAAGCACACCAATCAAATAATACTCGCTGCAAATGTTCTCAATTAGTAACCACCGCATCTCCTTACTCATTTCATCATATTTAGCACAATGTTCACCGTGTCCAGCCACACCATGTTCAGCACCATTCCCCTGTCAATTTCTTGCCCATTCCTGTCGCCCTCACACTCATCAAGTATCGTTCCCGTTGCAATAGAATGGTGTCACTTTGAGCTGTTATGTAGGTTTGTATGGCACCCATTGTGGCGCTGACGATTCCCACAAAGTAACGGCTCCCCAAAACAATGCAGGCATTCCATACATTTTCAGCGTGCTTCTCAATTACTGTCTGGAGCCTACGAGGTTAACCTGAAACATCGCAAGGTGGTGTACATGCAGCCGCAGAAAACACGGAGAGCAGTCATGCGTTACATATCGTCCATGCGCAGCTGCCATAACTTCTCCGCCTGTCGGCGGTGCAATCCAGACCAAAAAATGTACGCAGGCCTGAAGGCAAACCAAGAATGCACGGGTCTCTCTCCACAATAGTCCAGTAGCCAACCTGCAAACTATATATCAAACACGCATCCAGCATCCCATCGGAGTTCCTTTCCAGCACGGTTTGCATAGGCTGCGACAGACGCACAGTCCGCTGTGGACCAGAAGCCACTGCGCTGAAGTGCACAACAGCCGATTCTGCCGAAGCCAAGCAATGTGGCGCATCCCAGGCAATTTAATCCACCGACGTCTTGTACTCGTTTTTTAGCTCATACTGACCAAGGTTTGGGCCGCTGCGATTCAGGACAGCAATTTCGTTGAGCACCTCCTTCAGCCATGCGTTGGGCTGATTCAGTCGAGTCTGCATCAAGGCACAACATGCAACTCAAACAACACGCAGCTGGTGCACGCATTTATGGACTGCCGATAGTGGAACGCACCGAACGCAAAGGACGTCAATTGCCACAATGTCGGGGTATATATACGGCGGCTGGGCGAGTTTCCAACCACCGATCATGCTCCTGCTTGCTGTCACCACGCCACTGAACCCAGCACCATTCATCTGAAATTGATCTTTGAGCATTTTTGCGCAGCAAGGCGACATGGATTTTGTGCGTGCACCTTCCAGGTGGCATTGGGCAATTGTCCCGTGCAAGTGTTTTACAAGGTACAATGCGGTGAACTGACTGCTACACTCCTCGTTGTCCAAGTGCTTTAATGTGCAGTGCAACAATCGTGCAACAGAGCACCATTTTATCACACCATATACACACAGTGCTATATGATGAAGCAGAAATCAATTGCACAACCCCCCTCCCCCACCTACCCAATCACCCATCTACCTATTTAAAACCCTACCCCTACACACCAAACCACACTACACACTCTTGTTTGGTGGTGGCAGGATGGCGATTCCTTCAGCTGCTCAGTTTGTTGTAGTGGTGTTGGTTGGGATGGGCACAAGGCGAGTGGTGGCAGGGGTCCTGTGTGGCCTGTGCGACATGGGTGGCCCGGCAAAGTGATGGCCCACCATTGTGGCTCCTCTCACAGAGCTTAGGGGTTCTTGATGTACGTTCACCATCCCTACATTTCATGAGATTATTTCACGCAGGCTTACTTAACTTTGTTGGTTTCTTTTGCCGGTGGTTGCACAACAGTACTGGAAAGTGGAAAAGGGCCCAGGATATTCCTGAGTCAAGGGGTGTTCCTGTATGAGTCGAACTTGTGGTATATCAACAACATCGGGCATGCACAATGATTGCAATCGGTTGCCAACAACCATGGCAAAAGATGTTCACTGGTTCACACCTGGAGGGTCGCCAAGCGCAAATACTTGTCTTTCTCAAACATTCTGAACAGCTCTCTTTCGAGCTCATCCTTCTCCAATCGTGACCTCTTCATGCTGGTGCCATCCTCCTTATCAGTCTGCACTTGCAGCACAACGTATTCAGACAGCTCACAATGCACAATGGCATTAAAGATCCTCTTTGACCACACACAAGAAACTGTGTGCTCGCATGCCCATTAAGCCAGCCAGTGGGATCAAGTATCAATACTCCAGGCTCCTCCTGGCACGTACCTTCCTTTTGTGTGGTATATTCCGAGGAAGTGGCCTCCTTGGACGACCAGGAATTACTTGAAGGGTGTTTGCTTGCACTTTCCTTTTCTCCTCTTCCACCTTTTCCCTGGTAATCCGGGCAAAATTCTTGTCCACAACCAGGCGACCCTAGTGACAACGAACAGCAGCATGCAGCCCCACACACGAATACCACAGGGGCAGACCGGCTCCTAAGAGCTTGCAAGAGCTTGTCTATACAGCCAATCAACGAACAGCAGCATGCAGCCCCACACACGAATACCACAGGTGCAGACCGGCTCCTAAGAGCTTGCAAGAGCCTGTCTATACAGCCAATCTGAATCTGCTATGCACAATTTAATGCAGTGCCACGTAGGTGACTGCTGAGCCAATGCTACCAAACTATCCCCTTCCTGTGCAGTGCGCTGTGCTTGGGCACAGAGTAGGACCACCATTTAGGATTCAATGGTAACCCCATTTAGAGTGGACACAATTGAATGTTCAGCTCAAGCAAGAGCCTCCTGCACCTTGTTTGAGATATGCTACAAAAAGTCAGGCTGAGTACTCAGGAATGCATTTCAGTCTTGTACATATAATGGATTCAAAAGACAGTGGCCATATGCATATAACACGTCTGTCACCATAAATGTCATTTGTGTTCAACCTTTTGGATTGGGATGCACAACAACAGCTGAAGAATTGCTCGAATTTTCTCAAACGTTTTAGCCATTGATTCAAATTGTACGTCCAGCCCAAGCTCCTCAACAAACACTATCAGCTCAACTCAAATGACTGATTCAAAACTTGATTCCTGTGCCTGTGGAAAGTTGCTTTGCTTCTGCTTTCAACCAAGCAGGATGTTTCCTTCTCTGTGGGCATGTCCAAAAAGCAGTTTTGATTAACATAGGCCACTCAGCAACAGGAGGTGGCAATAGGAGTTTTCGGGCAACATGGAATGCCCACGAATTGCATGAATCCAGACAACTATGGAAGCTGTCAGCAAAGAACATACAATCTGGTTGCTCTCAACTTGATAAGTACTACACCAACACGCTTTTGCACTGCCAATTTCAACCACAAGCAGAGTCTGCATCAGTGCTTCATAGCCCCAGCCCTTTGTAAAGTCTACACCAATATTATTTGCTTGGAATTCAGAATTGCGTATCAAGGCAATGGGTACTCACTACGAAACCCCATGTGCAAGTGATGTGTAGAACCATGAGGAACAGGCATCACTGTGTTAAACAAACTGATGAAAGCACAAAACTGGGTAGTCATTTCAGTGTCGATCAACAGTGCAAGTTGCAATGTTGTGTTTCAGGGTATGACAGTAACTGGACAATTTTGATTCACTGCAAACACCCTGGCAACATTGTGCAATAAAACTTGCACAAACAGCAAGTCTTGATTTCATACGGTACCTACAAACATGACCCTGCACAAGCAGCACGAAATTCACAAACTCCAATTCTGCTCATGGCTATGAATCTGAGTAATGGGCTTTTGAAGGTTTGCATGTCATCGATGGCAATCTCCATGCACACCTCTGAATCTCGATAAGCTGGCGCAACTTTGGCATCCAGTTTCATTTCCACCTGGCCTTTTACGCCTGAAGCAGACAACATAGGTACAATATGGACATCAATATATGTGAAAGATCACAGCACTGCAGTTGTGCAGCCCCCGATGTGGCTATTCTGCACCAGCAGCTCTGCACACTCTGTTTGAACTGCCCTCAACCAGCTGTAGGAGCTCCTGTTGAGGACCTACTCAGTATGTATGTGCATGTGCGCATTGTAAAGTGAATGAGGTCTGGGGCTGCACTTCAATGCAACTGCACGGCAACAGACATCGTACTGCGTCCAACGATCAGACTGCAGGAACCAATTCAAGCATGCCCTTCTCATGCTAAAATCATTCTGATTCGAAAGCAGCTGATTGGCCCATACTTATTTTGTCTCCTTCCTGTGAGAAAACTTGAAGTGCACAGTTGTCCTCCGACATCATATCATATCTCTTTGGGAGCGGTTGCGCCAGGGACCCTGAATAACCGCAGAAGGGACAAAAACTGTTATTTCATTCCTAAACCATGAACAAAGAGCGTCAAGAACGCAGCACGCAACTCACCAACCAATTCCATTTTCAGTTTCGGGTCCTGCAGAGCAAAACAATGCACCTTATAATCACAAGCACAACACCTAGCAATCAAGAACGGGTTCCGCCCATCCGGCGTGCCCCGACAAACGCAAAGAGGGCTTGGATCAGGACCAAGGTGTTGCCTTGCCAAACTCGCGAGAAAGAGCGCAACCTCTGCTGTGCCGAATCTGTGGAGAGCCTGGAAACGCCCGGCCAAAATGCGAAGAACGCGCTCTCTGCCCCCACCTGCCCTGGAACATCCTCAACAATCAGCGTCCCAACTGGCATCTTCGGCGCGTTGTTCCATGCCTCGACCACGTAGTTTGGGACCTGTCACAAAATCACTCGGATTGGCGCGGCAGACAGCATCGCAGCCTTCACGAGCCACGGGCGTTGTTTCGCGGCGCAGCGCGCCAGCACTCCTTGGCGCGCGCGGCTGGTTGCACCTTGAGAACCCAAACTTCGTCGCCCGCGCGAGCAGCGTCCATGGTCGCCCTCGCTGCGCAGCGGAAGGTGGCTTGGGGAAATGCACTGGGGTAGAGGTATACATGCACAGCCAGTGCCGGGCTGTGCTTTCAGGATAGTGGGATTCTTATATTAAGAAAACTGTACTTAAGATTTAAGCGTGAGGGGGACCTGACAATTAACCTCAGGTGAAGGCGAACCTCACAATTTTATTGTGAGGGAGACCTGGCCATCTTTGACACAGATGACCCAGGGTCGCTTGGATTACCTTTCGAATATGGAGGGGCGCCGAGGGTGGCCTCTGGCTCCGGTAAATGCTGGCGTGTGTCGCCCAAATGGCTACCGCTCAATTGCGCCACTGTGGCACAATTGTGTGACGCAGCAATCATACCCCAGTCGTCGTGTGTTGCTTTAGCTTATGCATGCTAGCTTTGTGGTGGCGTGTTTTCTTGAATTGTTGATAATCATTTGCCTTCTACAATTGTCAGTCGCAATTTAATTCCATACGGGGCTACGCTTGTAGGGCTACGAAAACTAGTCTCTCCACTCTTTACATTAAGCCATTTGAATATTTTGAAAGTGCAGTTCCGCTCACGCACTGCCACTTCGCGCACCAATATTGGCATAAAAATTTTCCTAGAATGTGCACAATCAAAAGCTGAAGGGTCCACCTCTCACAGTAAATTGGCGTTGTCTGCTCGAAAGGACAAAGCTCTCATTGTAACGCACCTTTTTGGCGCCCCAATTTGGCAACGCAGAAGTGGCTTCCATAAGAACGATTGAAGTCCATTGCCTGGAGTGAATTTTTTCTGGTTGAAAGATGGCCATTTGAATGTAAACGGGATATCTTCAGGTGTACGATACAGGTTATCGGGTTTTGCCAAAAGTGAAGCGGTGTTGATTCCATTGTGAAGCGTGCATGCAACGTCTTGCTTGCAATGGGGTAACGGTGTATTAGATGGACTGCAAGCATGTAGGTGGTTGCAAACTAAAAAGGGCTCTCCAGCTCTGCGCCCTTGTCGCGCCACAGCGGCCCTTACGAGACCAAAGCACCAAGCAAACTACCTTGTAACAAATCAAGCAGGGTGAGCGATGCCACCAGCTAATGATCGAACAACTTGCTACAAAACCAGCTGCCCTTGGCAATAATTGTGTGGGTTGACATGTTGCACAAAGGCAACGTTCGCAGCCCATGCTCAGCTCTTCATATTCTAATCTTCTTCTCTTCAACCAATGACTCAACACGGAGCAAAACGAAGCCCACCGCCAACCCCTGCGGGCAGAAATACATCAAGAATGAAAGCCAGGGGAGGAAACTGTTCGATACTGAGCAGGGAGAAGTGGATGCATATGGCACCGGCCTGCTTGCTAACACTGACAAACTAACACATCAACTACCAAGGACTGCTATTCAGAGCCATGGAAACGACCCCAGAGAACAGCAGCGGGAACAAGATGCAGGAAAATGGACGCACAGCGAAAGATGGGACTCGGGTGTATGTGCCATGCGGTGAACCTGCAGGCAACCCGGCATTTCCAAAACCAAGAGCATTGGACAAGCGTAGACGTCCAGTTGCCCACAAAGCGCTGGCACGTCCTAATTGGATAGAGTTCTTGCAACAAGCAATACTCCATACCACGAGCGTGATCCCAAACATGATAGCTGCCACTTCGAAGATCAGGCCTGTATCCACTTCCGCTAGCTGAGCCACCTCAAGATGGGCAGACTGCGCTACCGTCCTGACGCGTCTTCGCGAGTCCATCACCTTCATTGGTTGTGAACAATCTGGCATCTGCTCTTTTCCTGCACCGAAACTCCTGCGTATTGCCAACGTCCACATGCAGGCTCAGATTCGAATGAAGCAACCGCCACACAATGCGCATGGAATACCATTGTGCGCAGAGTCACAACCTTGCCTCAGATGCGCAAAGGACAGCGCGGCAGTTCCAACTGGGGAGAAACGTAGTGGCTTCGGTTTGAAACGGTAGGCAAGGTTGGAAAGGCACGTTGAACTGGTCGTGGAAGCAAAGCGGGGCAGCGCTACAAAACACCACAGTGCATCCTCACCTGGAACCGCCGCTTGGGCGCTTCAGGGCAAGGCCCCCTCTGAGGCCAGCCACCGGCATGGAGGCACAGGGCACACAAGTCTTGCCGCTCAGCGAGGACGCCATGCTGCTGGAAGGAGACGCCTGCAGGAGGAGCAAAGGCCGCCAGCCCTCCGTCGCTACAGTGCCAGTGACAGATTCCCCTTGGACAGATCTTCACACATTGGCGTTTCAGTACAGTAGTGGTCCCTATACAGCGCACCCGCGTGACATGGCGAAAAGGGGGGTCATTGCCGGTGGGGGACGCTATTGTGTTAGTGGGGTACCCTAAGCAGCCGGTGTAAAGGGTACCCTGGCCGCCAGTGTAGGGAGTACCCTAAGCTGCCAGTGTAAGGGGTACCTTGCCACAGGTGTAAGGGGTACCCTGGCTCCCAGTGTAGGTGGTACCCTTGTCGTCTGTGTAGGGGGTACCATGCCCGCCAGTGTAGAAGCTACGCTACACCCGGCCTACGGGGCCCATCCAGGCTTTTGGTGCCAGCGACTTGTCGCAGCGCCGAAGTCGCGGGCGCAGGGGCCTGTCGCAGTGAAACAAAGTACTACAGCAACGGTGACAAGCCGTTCAGGGGGTCGCTAAACCTAGACGGGTGGCTAAACAGGGTCCGCTAAACCGGGGCCCCCTTTTACTAGTTTGAGGTCCCACTGCGCAACAAAGCTGCATAAAGTACTACAGAAATGGTGACAAGCCAAAAAAGGGGCGCTATTTTGGGGTGCGCTATGTAGGGACCCCTGCTGTATTGTGGGCTGACAAAAGAACATGGACATTACAGTCATTTACTCGCAGAAGGATAAAAGGGCAAAGACACTTGCTGTTGCTGTAACCAGAACTGATCGAGCATTATTAATGGCTAGACGCATTAAGAGGTGATGGGACAATAGGAACTGAATTGAGGGCACTGGTCAACGGACAGGATACAAGGGACATAATTCCTGTTCTCCTTTTGCTCCGCTGCAAACCGTTGCCGTGTACTCGAGCCTGCGGTCCCCATTCAGGGGTCGCCACCCCTCGACACTGCCTGCCTTCTTCACTGTAGCATATCCTCCCTTCGCTTGTCTTGTGTGTAGTGGGGTAACACATGGGCTCCCCTGCACGTTGCCATGACGCATTCTGTTGGGTCTCGCATAGCGGCTAGAGCCCTGAAGGTGACATGCATTGGACTTCATTACTGCACAGCACACAGGGTCGTGTGTACGGTTTCCTGACCGTATGTACGGGCCAGTTCCACCATCACTTGAATGCTGGGTCTCTGTGCTCCAAGGCAGGGAGGGCGCGAGCCATGGAGCGCTCGTTTGCCGCGCGACCGGCTCCCTCCAAGGCGGTCCCGCCGGTGCGCGCCATGGCGTCCGCGGGAGGGCCTCAGAGCAACGGGAGCGGCAGGCCTCTGCGGTTTGCCACAAGAATTCTCCATCCGGACGTGTCAGGGACTGATCCGTACAAAGCCGTGGCCCCACCCCTGTACCAAGTGAGTCCGCCGCTCTCAACGGCAGCAAAACGATGCCAAACTTGCACAGGCGCTCTTCTTGTATCCGAATCGCTAACATGGGCTTCATGCTTGTCACGATCTTGTCGGCGCGTTGCGCGAGAGAACAGCCGTTGTGCCATGTGAGTCCGCCGTTCTCAACGGCAGCAAAACGATTCCAAGGTTTCTCAGGGAATCCTCTTGCACCCGAAGCGCCAACATGGGCTGCATTAATGTCATGATCATGTCTGCGTGTTGTGAGAGAGAACAGCCATTCAACTGTGCATGTGACGCCCTTGGCGCAGACGGCGACGTTTGATCAACCATCAGCGACGGAATGCGGCCCATATGATTACACGCGCAGTGGCAATCCAACAAGGACGCTTCTTGAAGAGCAGATGGCGCGACTTGAGGGGGGGTGTCGATCTTTCGCCTTTGCGAGCGGGATGGCAGCGATCTCTGTGGCCTGCCAGCTCGTGAAGAGTGGTGGGCACATTTTGGCCGGGGATGACATCTATGGTGGAACCAGTCGACTCCTGGCAAACGTCCTGCCGGCTGGGGGCGTGGAGGTGACGAATGTTGACGCCACGGACCTCGTGTAGGTGTTTGGAAACCCCATGGGAACAGGAACACAAACTCGTTTGGAGATGCGCAATGGCCAGGATGATGCCCTACAGCACGGTCAGCATCAGTTGTTGCCTGCTTGTGCTGAGATTCACTTTTGTCCTGGTTCCCTGTTGGCTCGATGAGGCTGATTTGCGGTGGCAAATTTGTAATTAATTTGTAACGAGACTGCAAGGACTGTGGGAGGATATTTCATAGTGCCTGCACTGCACGCCCTTGCCGTATTTGCCCCAGTTGTTGTTCAGTCCAGGAACAGTGGCTGATTGGTTAAACCAGCAAATGCAACAATCTGCTTTCCGCTTCGTTCAAGCGATTGTTGTTGTTGTTGTTGTTGTTGGTAAATCTCTGCATTTTTGGAGGAATGCTTTGCAGATGAATTGCAGTGTTTCATCTAACATCCTTCAGAGCAGGTTGGGTTTGGGGACCACATCTGGCCATGTGTGGATTGTGGCATCTCAAAGGCATGCTTTGAATGTCGCCATGCTGTTTGTGTATGCCAGGGCAGTGGCGGCATCTATACGTCCAGGACAGACCAAGATGGTCATGCTGGAGTCCCCAACAAACCCAAGAATGCAGATACTTGACATTAGGAAGATTGTGGAGTTGGCGCACGAGGCTGGTGCACTTGTGCTGGTGGACAACAGCATAATGGCTCCTACATTCTGTCAACCCCTGGAGCTTGGGGCTGACATTTCCATGACATCAGCAACCAAGTTCATTGCTGGCCATTCAGACGTCACTGGAGGAATATTGACAGTCAAGGACAAGGATCTCGCTGACAGAATTTACTTCTTACAGGTGTGCTACCGTCAGTCCTGCGATGCCTTATGTCAAAACCAACAAAAAGAAGCTGCCCTTGCACCTTCAAAGTGTCGGCTGTAATGATTCCATCCACACCATTCTGGATGGCTGGTTCCATCCCCCCTGAAAATGCTCTTATCTTTCTCAGGTGGTGTGGGCCAAGTCATGGGTTCTGAGGCGGTGCCATTTGTGTTGGTTGCAGAGCACACCGTCACTGCTGATGGGCATGTGCACATCGCACAAATTGTGAACAGAACTGAATGCTGTTTGTGCTAACAATGTTGTTTGAAGGCATTGGTGCACATTTGCTACCAATCTGGCTGAATGATTGTGTGCCAATTTTGCATGATGCTGTCATTGATTCCTCTCACACTTTCGTTTATTTGAATGAAGCACAGGGTTTAAAGGAGGGTGGGGTGAGATTGTGGTGGTGGTGGTGGTGGTTGGGTGGGGGGTCCCTCCTGTTCGTTCCGCACTCACACGTTGGCAGCGCGCACGCGACCGGCACAAAAGGTACTACAAGCATTGGCATCCTGAAGATCCCGCAGGATCCCAAAATATACCTTGAAACAGCCATAGAAGTATAGGATTGGCAGAGTGCATGTATCATACAAGCACTTGCCTCAGGGATTGTTTTAAATTCTTCAAGATGTGCCTGTCCCTCAATTCAATTCCAGGTCATCCTGACACCATCGATAACTGTGGCAGGAGCTGGCATCACAATACACTGGTAAGATAATAGTTAGCCACCATAGCACATAAAAGAAACTCAATTCCTCGAAAAGGAAACTTAATGAGACATAATTTGTGGTTTCTGTGCTGCATCAGTCCAGCCAACAAATATTTAGCCCAGAGTGGGCTTGGGGGACGAAACAGCAAGCAAGGTGAAACCACATATATCATTAGGGGTCTAAAGATAAGAAGTGTGGTCAAGGCTGCTTTCTACCCTGGTGCTGCAAGCATGCTGTGTACTTTCACCGCCACAGTTACTCCTCGACCATCCAGCACCATGCTGATTTGCTGCTGGAACAAGCACAGGGTTTCACCAAGATATCTCAGGTCGCAGAACAAGCGAGTGGCATGTTTATTCATCCTGAAACATGATTGAATGCGTTTGTGGTGTCCACCATGTTCCTTGCAGACTGAAGAACTATTGGATGTGTTTGTAATGCCCCACCATATTCCCTGCAGCCTGACAGCGGACAAACACATGTCTGGGCATGTGCATACATATTCTGACCATGGCAACTGCTGCTTTTGTGCACAGAATGCCGTGGGCTCCATATTGGGCCCCTTCGACTGCTGGCTGTGTCTTCGAGGCCTGAAGACCATGGCACTGAGGATGGAAAGACAGGCGGACAATGCCAGCCGAATGGCACAGTTCTTGGACAATCATAAACTCGTCAAGAAAGTAAACTATGCTGGCTTGCCGAACCACAAAGGGCGAGACCTACATTTTAGTCAGGTGATTTCGATTACTGCTCTTTGTGAAAGGAACGGACTGCATGGCTGCCTAATGGCATGCACAAAAGCTGCAAGAGCGTTCAGCCACGCGAAAGTCATGATTTTCCAGAATGGCCTCTTTGTCTGTTTGCATGCTGTTTGCGCTGCTGACCGTTCCGTTTGCTGCAGGCCAGCAGTGCAGGGAGTCTCGTCAGTTTCACAACAGGGAATTTGGAGCTTTCCAAAGTGATAGTGGAGGGGGCAAAGTTGTTCAAGATCGCCGTTAGCTTTGGGAGTGTCATTTCATCAATCAGTTTGCCATGCTTCATGTCTCATGCGTCTGTTCCTGCTGAAGTGCGAGCTGAGCGAGGGCTGCCAGATGACTTGATCAGGATCTCAGCAGGTAAGTGGCGGACTCCCATGCTCTCCTCCAGAGCGCGCTATCCGTGGCCACCCACTCCAAGGTTGTGCCAACGCATCTTACATCGGCACATTCGCATTAAGCATGGTAGTTGTGCATGCAGACCATGTGAACATATTGCTGTTTCTTTTCCAACACATGCGCAATGAGATTATGTCCATACAAGCTTCAATTTCGCCTCCTTTTCAGGGGGCGAGGAATCACTAAGGACAGCGGGTGTGTGCTTGCGCCAGGCATTGAAGATGTTGAAGATTTGATAGCCGACCTCAGCAGTGCGATGGACAAGGCTGAAGCCCTTGTGAATCCTGATTCGAAGCAGACAGTGTCACCATAATGGTATAATCCACAACTGTTTAAATGGGATGCGCACATTGAGTTTGTTGCTGTTGCTGTCGGCCTCTGGCAAGAATGGGCTGCGCAGGTAGACTACCACACTTCCTGCTGCCTTGACAATACGGTTGATGGGCTTGCGATTGATGTTATTGGAGCGAAGGCGGGGAGCGCTCAATGAGAGAGCGGTTCACAGTGTGAGATGTTGGCTTGCATGGATGTGCAAATCACTTGGTGGCAGCCATTCTTGCCAAGGGCAATTGTTCTCTGTCCTATGAGGTTCTGGATTGCGAGAGGACATGTGAATGGAACTATGCAAGCAAGACAGTGGTCGGTTTTCGTAGCCCTGAGCGAATGGACAACACTTTTGTGTAATTATACTGAAATTGTTGGAATCGCGGATTTGGAATTAGACGAATGTTACCTGCGCGTCCATTACTCCACGCACATAGGGATTATATTGTAATAATATAATCAAGGAATTGTATTAAAAGAGATTATAATATTCCTGGGAATAGCGCTGTGCGGGGCCCAAAGCCGCACAAAAATCAAGGCGCAACGGGCGCGAAACACACACAGGAAGATCGCTGGGGAAACTGCCAGAGCGTGTGGCAAATAATCGCTAAGCTCACGAAATTGGACAGAGCTTTCATTCCTTCGCTCGGAACGAAGATCGCTATGGCGCTTGAGATCTGCTCAAATCGCGAGCTTCCAAACTGAGTAACGCGTGACCATGTCAAGAATCGCTCATTACCAACGCCTTTCTTGGAGCGAATTCTCCCCTGTTCCGGTTCATTGCAACAATCAGCGGATGTATGAGTATAGTGGGGTGCAATTGAGTGCACGGCAATCAGTCCTCAATGTGTCAAGACGGCATAGAATTGCCCCTGTGCGAAATTTTCTCGTGACAGGGCTACTCCTGCCCATCACATTTCTCCAGAACTTGCTGCAATGCGTTGCCTCGGTGCACTGTAGAGTGGAAAAATGGCCGCGCAGCCGGTCCTGCCCGCGCAAGACTTGTCTTCGCACAAATGCGCTCGGGAACGCCACAGGGCATGCCACATTCACGCAGTTGCCGGGCTTCTTGGTGCCCGTGATCGCAAGCAAGAAAACATAAATCTATCACGCAAAGTGCTCCCGCCCTTAGCCTTCAATTTGCACCAGTGGTTGTGGTGGGCCCGCAGTCGTTCGTGACACCATCCTCGAGCACGTATGTGGCCAGCACCTCCCAAGGTGACCCCGCCTGCAGCATTTATTTGCGATGCGTGCAAAATTTCCAGCACAGAATGTCGCGACCACTGCATTTACGATCATTGTCACCTGCGATACCAATCGTATCTGTGCCAGCCACTGCTGCATGCAACACATGCGTGAGCTTCGAGTGCAGGCTTGCATAATATCGACTTCAGCGGAAGCACCGCCACGCCGTTGTGCTCTTGTGACATTACGAAGGCGCATCGAACTACCACAAGGCGCAGCTGGTCCTGATTCTGCATGCTCCGTACGTTGGACCAAGCGGACATGCCGAAGTCGCGCTTGGAGTTGTGACTAGCTCTGTTGGGCGATTCTTAAGCAGCCGCATCGGGGTGTTGGTTTGCATTGCGAGGCGAGAGTGCGCGAAAGTATAATTTTATACAGCACGAGCTCGAAAGCGAACGTTACCAGCTTTAGGGAGTTCCTATTCTGGGTTTTGTCGCTGTTTTCGGGACAATTCCTGCTCAACCTGCAGGGAATGTCGCGCCCCAAGAGTCTAGAGTGTAACGAGACAATTGCGCGCAGTTGATTGACGGACTGGGGGAGTTCAGCGCGCCGGCTGTGAAGTCGGCCAGGTGTATGGGCGTGTCGGCCGAATTACCTGTCGAGCTGAATGCACCCACCCCCCCATGGCCATGGATCCTCGCTCCGGCACGTCCCATCGCATGCGAATCGGTTCCCAAAACGTTGCTTCATGGCGAGCCCCGGGCCCCATGCATTCACGACAAGAGCCCAGAAAAGTGGCCCCAGTTCGAGGTGCCGAACTCGGGAAGCTCGCCAGGAAGCCCGCCGGACGCCTGTGGGAGCTGCGGGCTCGCCTGCGGCGATGAGGCCCCCGGCGGCGCTGTGCCTTGTGCTGTGCGCGGCCCTGCTGCACGCCGCCGCGGCGTTCACCCGCCAGGACCAACGTGAGCGACTCGCCGACACACACAAACCTGCGCAGGTTCTCGGGCGACGGCAGTGCTCCCTGACAGATGGCGCCCCTCGCGCAGCCGTGCTAAGAATCCGCCATGGGGAGGGCGGTGGACATTGCGGTGCATGAATCGGCGTTGGGCATGGCTTTGAATCGTTCGCTCGCTTTGGCATCGCGCCCCGCAATCCACGGGCGCGCGGGCTGGGACAGCGCGGAATTGAACAAGCGACGCAATTGAACAGGCGCGCGGCCTGACTGCGGCTCTATGACGGGGCGCTGCGTGGGCGGCAGTCCTCGCATTGCATTGCCGCCTCGGCGTTCGATTCCACCGCCATGCGGCCGGGACGCAGCCGTGGCAATGGATGCGAGTTGCGCTCATTCTCAGTCCCTCGCCCGTGTGCCTGTGCCAGTCGACAAGCTGATTTTCTTCCGCGACACGATGCGCGAGCGCAGCGCCCACTGGCGGAGCGCCACCGGCAACTGGGAGTGCCCCACGGGCAGCGACGGCAGCTGCGACCCGTGCGGCGACGGCACCATCTTCGGCAACTGGCACCACATGTTCTGCAGGGGGTTGACCCCGGGCAAGGACGGCGACGGGACCATCGACGGCTGGGTTACGAACATCCACTTGAGCGACTTGAGGATAGACGGGCCCGTGCCCAGGGAGCTGTGCCTCTTCACGGAGCTGAGGGAGCTTGACCTGGACGGCGGGCGCCTCAGCGGGCCCCTGCCGGAGTTCCTGTCCACGTGCTTCCCCAGGCTGGCTGAATTCGACCTGAGCTACAACAGACTGAGCGGAACCGTCCCCACGTTCTTCAAGAACATTGAGAACCTGCAGGAGGTGGAGCTCCGCAGAAACAGGGTGAGGGAGGGGGTGGGATGCGGCAGACGGGCTGTGGTTTGAGGGGAAGGGCGTGTGGCTTTGTCCGGACCTGCTGGACTGCAATGCGATGGATGGGATTGCTCTGTGTGGAAGACACTAGGATAAAAAGGGCCAGACAACACTTTTGCAAACACATGTAAAACACATTTCATCAAAGTTCTGCACGCTAAGAGCATGAAAATAACACAAACCCGTAAACTTTGCACACGTTTGAACACGTGTTATTTGGCCCCTTTTTTCCTAGCGAGAACGGCTGCGTGCTGGGCAGACTGTCGTGAGTTTGAGAATGCTTTCATATCTGTGCTCTGGCTTGACACACGCAGAAATATGAGCGTCTAGAATCGCAGAGCTGACATGGCCCTGGCATTCTTTGAGCTTCGGGAATGTTGAAACCCATTGTGACTGCTCAAATTCCAGATCTGGAGAATTGCTGGTGGCACATCTAGTACTGATACTATTGCTTGGCAGTTAAAGTGAGCCATGCCGGGCGGCGTTGACAATTGTCGCGGCAATTGTCAACCCCGCCCGGCATGGCTCACTTTAGCAAAGAGGACAATCGGCCTCTTCGTCATCATCAAAGGTCCCTAAAAACAATTGTGCATTGTTCAGAATAAGTGACAAGATGCACGCACTGTAGTACTTGCAGGGAAAAGTGGATCCACAAGGGACCGTAGTTTGGATGTACAACGAATTTTGTGTTCCCCTCGGTTTGCAAGTTTGGTGAGCTGATTGCAGCCTCCATGACGTGATATGTGTTTTCACAGCTACTGGGTACCGTCCCCGAGGAGTTTGGTGAAATGCGTGCACTACGCGAACTGGAATTGGATGGCAACAAACTGACGGGGAGAATACCTCAGTCCTTCAGGTACGCTTGTGCGCACATTCTACACAAACAGACAAACATATCTTGCACACCAATTGCCTTAATGGGAGTGAATCAGAATTGCTTTGTCCAATCTCCATAAGATTTGTTGACCCGTCTTTAACTGCATTGTACTGGAATTTCCGGGTTAAATAACATCTACAGTGCGAATTCCTTGATACAACAGTTAGTTTCTGAAGCGAAGGGAAGTCTGGAACAACAGATATCTTGAAGAATGTGCAGCTGTAGAGATTCACCGCTTTCGTAGCACTCACTAAAGGTCCAACCTAATATGCAATGCCCTGCAATGAACCACGATCTCGTACACAATCACAGCAGCATTTGCAACATTGGCATTATTGTACAAGGGATGGAACAACTGCTGCAATAATCAGAGTCAACCATATTGAACCATAAAAAGCTGCATGGGAGGAGTACGTGTTCAGTTGGTGAGCTCCATTTTTTAGGAATATTTTCTTCTGTGTTTTCATGATACATGAGCGCAGTTCGTCTAAATTTTAGCACATTGTACTGATGATGGTAGCTGTATCATGTTTCCGGCTTCATTGCGGCCGTGTTCAGCACTTGTGTGCATTTATGTGTTGCTCCTCTGCAGGAAATTGAACCAGACAATGACCAGCATTCTCGTCAACGACAACGACCTCGAGGGCGACCTGTCTGGTCTTTCTAGCACGCCTCTCATGAAAGTGGGCATCCACAACAATCCTAAGCTGTGCGGGATGGTGCCTGCCAGCGTGCGTTACGCCCATGGCTACAACCCAGTGGGCACGCGTCTGGGTCAGCCGTGCTGAAAAGGCAGAGGGGAGTTCCTGAGGACTGTCCATCAACTGCACTTGAGTGAAGCATGCATTGCTTATAAGGCATAGCATTTGGAACATTTGGTTCTTGCCTTGAATGGTCTTGCTGCAGTGCACCTTAGTCCATTCTCCATGACATCTGCGTAATTTCGGGCATGTGTGATCCTGGTGCAAGAATGCAGCAAAGTCAGCAATGGCCCATTCGCTGGTGCCTCTACAATGGGAATAAATGGAGGGGTCAATTGACGCTGCGGAGGTTCGGTGTTCAGTTAGGTAGCTCCAATAGATCATGTGCTCTAATTGCGGAATGCTCCAGCCTGTGACAATTACCTCAATGCATACGACACCATTCCAGGTACCACCTACTGGGCCTGCAGTGTCGCGTGGCACGGTGACCAGTGACTTTGCTTTCCCGCTGGAATACCCTGTATATCCCACTGCAGAGTTGTTTAATGAAGAGGAGCCATGTACAAAGATCAACCAAATTGACACACAGTCGTTGTCAGAACTGCGTCAGGGCAAGCCAGCACCTGCACGGTTCATGAAAACAGGTGCCCCAATGGGATTCCTCTAGCAGCACTCCCCGGAATCCTCACATTTGGGGGAGCGCCTCTGGCCAGAGTGCGCACATTGGCGCACTCAGCTCCATGGGTTGGCAATATAAGGACGCTGTGGGCGCTGCGTGCGCCCAGTGTCACCACGACATACACTCATGCAATTGTTGCTTCCTCGATTAACCCCATACGCAGGATGTGACAGTTCATGGCAGGCGCTGTCGTTGTGATGGGATTTGGGGCGTCGTCACGGGGTCAGAGCGCATCTCAGAGTAGTAACTGCAACCTCACCTTAAATCTTCAGTGCTGATGTGGGTGACAATTGTTATTTGAGTTTGGTTCTGTCTATTGTGGACATCTGGTCATGTATCGCGCCAGCATGTCTCTGTACAGCAGGTAAATGTGTGGCTGGGTTACAGGCCACCGAGCTGGTTTCGCTGGCAACGTTGGGTGTTGCGGCCCGGGATGGCGTGTCAATGCACTCGAGGTGACCACTATCACGAGCAGTCACCTCATATGATGGCTATCACAAGGTTGAAATAACTCCATGGGGTTATCTGGCCAGATGGCACTACCCAGACTGGCACACGCTCTCCGACACACTCCCCCTCTCTGGATTCCTTGCCAGGATTTGCATTCGACAGACACAGCAGGGCCGTTGCACATCGCAGGCGATGTAGGGCATGCGTTCAAAATACCTCCTGTTCGCATCAACTGCTATCTGATCTGGCAATGATGGCCGTGGTATCAGTCATGGCGTTATCACACTTTGCAACACACACAAATGGAAATTGATAGAATTTCATGGTATTGCCAACCGACACTCTGACGGAAAGAGGTATTTGTGGTACTTCGGAGCGACGCTATCTGCCTATTAAATGGGTCCCTTGGCGCCTCACGTTGGTGCTATGCAGGAATATCAGTCTTTGGGATCAGAAAAAGAAAGACAGAAGAATTGTGCAGATTCAGGCCACACTTCCACGGCCTCAACATGGACTACTTGGTTCCATTAAGCGTGTCCTTTTGCCGCCACCTCGCTTCGTTTTATGAACCCTCTTCTGTTCGTTGGTGGAACGGTAGGCCAAAAGCATGATGGTCTAGTGGCACCACTACTGTGCTGTGATGCGGTTCCGTGCAAATACGGGCTCAGCCCAGATCATCATGAATACCGCGCTTTGGCGGCCGCTCGCCAACATACAGTCCCCGCGGGCCAAGTGCCGCTGTGTTCGGGCACACCTGGTCGAAAGCAGACCACTTTGAAAACGAAAGCCCTCTCCCCACGCTGCTGACTGACCGTAGCGATGCCGGTCTCGAGAGCACAGGACGTCCGTAGTCTGGTGCTCGCGAAGTGGGGCATGTCTGGCAAGGCATTGGCAATTCAAAACGGCAAGAAGGCCAAGGTTACGCTGTCAGGTGTGTATCTGGTGTAACACCGGGTGGCCGATCCAGAGATTGTATGCCCGGTGGAGCATAGTCCGCAAAGGCAGGCGCAAACGTGATTGCGAACACGAACGGGAATCTCGATGCGAGCTGCCAACGATTCTCAACAGCAGGTGGGCTTGGGCGAATAACTGCCACACCAACATGCCTGGCGCCATTGTGGCATCGCAGGGCAAGTTTTTGACCGATGCCAAAGCCAGAACTATGGCCAAGGTAAAGGCGCCCATGAATGCCAACATTAAGCCATCGGCATAAGCGATTGTAAGATGTCATCGATGCCCGCCAGGCGGACACCCCAAAGACGGCAAGCCCACCACGGCCATATCCGGAACGAAGGGCAGCCCCAGACCAGGGCGAATGCTGAAGTGGCTGAGAGTGGGATTCGTGCTTAGGCATTGAGACAGGGCCAGGCATCTGGCACAGGTTTCCTGCCACAGGAAAGGCATGCCCGACGTATCAGTGACGGTCAAGACCGTTAGCGAATATGGAACTGAAGAAGAACGCCTGTCCTTCGCCTACATGGAACATCAGGATCTGGTGGCTGGTGTGTTCGCACCACAATGAACAATTGGAAACAGCAGGGACCATTGTTGTAGAGAGCAGGCAAGAAAAAAGCGAAACAGAGCACGACGGGGCAATATGTGAAGAAGGTGGGAATCGATCAGTTGGCGTTGCTGGAAGTCAATTGTGCACCATGGACTGCCAGATGCATGAGGGAAATGCCCTGACCCTGGAGAGGTAAAGAACAGATAATGGATAAAGAATAAGGGGGCAATGATTCATGGCACATTCCCTATTTGCCTAAAGCAGATAGAACTGCCAGACAATGCCACGATTGTGAAGTGTGGGGGGTATTGTGGTGAAGGCACAGGACTTAGGCCTGTCACAATGAATAGTCGTTATTGTCTACAAGCCCTTCTCAAGATGGGACATCCTCACTATTGCTTGTCTCGAAGCACTGATGTTCATTGCCAGCATGTTGTTACTGTAGTTGGAAAATACTGCCAATAATTGTGGTCCCAAGAGATATATTGCCCTTGTGTGGAAACAAATTTTGCACTGACCTGCAAGCATCTGTGTATCACGATTTTTATAATTGGAACAAACAAAACTTTGCTATTTGCTGTGAATCCTTTGTGCCAGGGCCCCTTCAAGTGCCACACTCATCTTCTTGAAGACTGAGCGTTGAGGTTCAACTGAGCAGACCTTTGGCATTTAGATCGCCTTGTCCTCCCTTGTGAGGTATCATGGGGCCCACACATCTTTTGTTAGGATGAGGTGGTACCTGGGCTCTTTCCAAATGCAATGCTTTGGAACAATAGAAAAGCATCTGTGAGTCTCAGTTATAAGCTTGCTGCCACCCAGATATTTTCCCGTGTAGTATCCGCAGTGGGGTGCATTTTGATTCCAATGTCCTACTGAATGCCTCTATGCAAGCAAGCCTTCAGCATTGATAGCTGTTCAGGGAAATTGGATGGCAATTTGGGAACAAGAAGCATGTCATTAGTGCTTTAGCCATTTGACCACTGCTTTGGCAGCTTTCTTTGGCATGTTCTCTAAAAGGTTGGATACAATGAGTGCCATTGGTTGCTGTTGACTGGCACCAGACAACTACAAGACATACATCTCATCACATGCCAATTGTGGGCCTGCCTTGTCTTCTTGTTGTTTGCTGATATTGTGTTCCAGACCACTTCGCTTCAGCAGTGCCCTGGATTGTGCTGGGTGGCTATGTAGTGACCATGCTGAGTGTGTCTTTCTAGCAGGTCGAACTCAGTCAGAGCGGCAAGTTTGAAGGTACCTTGCAATACCCTGTCAAGGATGGCTATATGGACGATGTTGATACAGTGGAGTACTACTTTTCAAACACAGCGAACATCCGGCCCAATGTCGTTCAGGCTTGTTTGTTGTTGTCATATCCTAGAATTGGCTGCAGAATTCAGCTGCTTTTGTGGAAGAGTCCACTGAGGATGCCACTCCTCCAGTTTGTATTGGTGGGGCTGTGCACAGTTCTTGAGTTCTATGCCATTGGGGCATTTCACGCGACTTGCCAGGTTGAGAGCTACATTCTTGCCTGCGGGTTCCTTCAGGAAGTCGCTGTGAAGTCGCTTTTGGAAAAAGAGCTATGTGCATCTAGAACCAGACAGTGCTTTTGGTTTCAAGCATTGAAACAGGATCCAAAAGCTGCATAGGCAGCAAACTAAACGCGAGCAAACGGGTGCCAGTGGACTAGGGAACTTGGGTAGTTGTAAGTACTGGGTGGTTCACAGTTGTGTGTGATGTGCTGTTGGTTGGACAGACATCTCGCACAATTTCGCTTTCAACAGACGAACTGCTTGTATCAGGGCAGCCCATGGGGACCATTGGCTGGGCCCAGGAGATGGGCTTCTGGTCGAAGCCTGATCGACTGTAGGACTTGAATTTTCTGAGTGTCTCTACAAATGAACTGCATGCCATTTGGCTGGTGTAATGCAGGATTGGCGCTGTGAGGTTGTATTATCCATATTGTAATGATCTGTTCAAGACATGCTGCCTTATGGAAGAAAGAGACAAGAGACAAGAATGTGAGTGCAATTGTTGGGAATGTCTATTCCTGCTGTTTGTACATAATCCTGGTCGAGCAGCCATCGAAATATTGGCTTCTGGGGGCTTCGGAACTGGCATGGTTGGTGCGTGTTGAGTCCATGGTCATGGCCCAGCCAGATGTTCTTGCATTTTTTGGCTTGCCCTTGCTGGATAGGAGGTATGGTCAAATGGAGCTCCCTGGCCACCAGCAACTTGGATTCCAGCTCGACTGGGATGGTGTTCATAGATCCTGAACATGCATGAACTACCAGTCAGTTGCGTTGCTTTAGGCATCACAAGCAGTTGTGCAATTTTGACTGACAAGTTGCTTTGGAGTGCTCCGAGACAAGTGGCTGTGAGCTGCACTGTTCCTCCAGCTTGCCGAACCTGAATGCTCCGATTTGTTCGATGTCACCCATTGGTATGTGGGCTGCCTGGTATGAGCTGCCAAGGCCTTGGATGTTTCTGTATTGGGGTGGCTCTTGCTTTGGCAGTGCCTTGATGACATAGCTGTACTGCACAGTTGGGAGATCTGGAGGTCAAAGTAAACAGTCAGCCCAGCTCTTCCTGGATACATCGTGCAAGTCCTTGTGGTGACCACGAGCTGCATAGATTATGTGCACCAAGAACAATCCAGCAAGAGAGGTTGGGAAAGATTCATTCAGCCTGCTGGTGCGATGATGACAAAGCTCGTGCTGACAGATGATTAGAACAGCACAATCCATTCTCTGACGCACAGTAGGCTGAACAACTCATGCAGAGGAGTCTTCGCAGTCATGCACTTGTGGGGCAGTTGGTGTGTAGTGCTGTGCATAACAAAGTGCAATCTGCAATCAGTTGTCTTCGTTGCCCAGCGAGTCGATGTCTTGTTGCATATTGATATCCCTGTAACAGCACGTGTGGTGGATGGGAATGCTCACTGCAAGGCGTGAAACTCATGTAGGTCTGGCACAGTCCTTCAGCCCAAAAAAAAAACTGGCTTAGCTTGAGGTGTGAACAGATTGAGTTGCGGCTGTTACCCGTATAATCTTCCTTGTTTCCATTTGGTGTGCCACTTGTCTTGTGCCGTGCGGTGCACAGGTGGGTGATCGTAAACCGCAGGAGGCACTTGGCACCTCGACACGCTGCCCTTGTGCTCATCCTGGCCAGTCTGAAAGTGCATTTGCACCCAGCTTTGCACGTCTTGTATCCTACGCACACTGGAAGTGCTCCTTCGCTCGGTGCCACGCGCCTGGGCCCAAACTAACAGAATTGCGCGCCCTGCTCACCGAGCTTCCCAAGGAGTTATCCCCCTCCCCCCAGTCTTCAGGAGCTCTTCAGTGAGCGGCACCAGTTGCACGAGATTCACAAGAGAAGATAACTTAGCACGACTACGTCAAGTGCTAGGTGTCGTTGGAACTGCTTTTCCCACCGACAAGGGCAGCGAGCGTGGCCCGAACCCCACACCAGTACCCTGGGCACGTGGCGCCTTTCACCTGTGATGAAGGCGCCCAACACAGCCGCCCCCAGCTGCAACAGCCGCCCCCAGCAGCCGAACACGAAGAGGCAGGCGACGTCCGCGATGTTGGGGCACGCGTCCTCGCAGGCCACCATGGTGAACGGTGAGGGAAGACGAAACGCCCTCGAAGCTGGGTTGACTTTGTTGCGTCACATTTTCTTGCCACACTCGGCTGATGGATGCCGCCCGTGTCCGTGCCCCTGTCCCAAGTAGAAAAGCAATTGCCCTGCATTGGCCGAGTGTGCCGATAACTTTGCGGGCAGTGGCCCCCCTCTTGGGGCCTTTTTCCCAGCTGGGTGTTTGGACCTTGCGTGGACACTTTGTCAAATAGTCATTCACTCCATCTACTCTACCGATCTATCTATTGTATTCATCGATATCGTCAACAGGATCTCCTCTGCTATCTATATCCACACAGCTACACTCTATCCGGCACTCGTCAAACAATGCCCTGCCATCCCGGCCCACCCCAATTGGTCACTCCAACATTGTGAGCAGAAGGGGATGCCGCGTCAAAAGAGCGACGGCAGCCCGAAAACGCGCCAGTCGCAGGGCCGATCTCGCCGACCGTCGCGCGCAAGGACGGCGGCAGTCTTCGCAGGCGGCCCTCCAGTCCCAGCGCCAGCAGATCGGCGGCAAAATGGGCGGGCATGGCGCCCTGGTGTGGCGGGCGCTCGCGATCGCCCCCTTCCTGTTGCTGTGCGGAGTGGGGGGCACGCCGCACCTCGAAGAGGTGAGCTGCTGCGTGCCGCCGGGCTAGGTGCCTCTCGGCGAGCCTTTTTGGGCCGTCGGTAGCTCGCGGACACTCGCCACGCGCGGGCCAGGATGCGACAGGATTCGTTGATCCCATAACGGTCCGTGGGTCAGTGTGCACATCGCTGATCCCTTCGCGGTCGATTGCGGGAAGAAATCTGCGTCTATTGTTGGAGTGCGGGCCGTTCAAGGCGCACTGGTTGGCTGGGACGAAGCTGAGGGAGCGCGGCGCCTGGCGGATTTGAATCGCAACGGACTTGGCGGCAGGTTGCCTGGGGCAACAAATGATGCCTGGAGTGGGGTACCCGAACCCTTCGCAGCTTCTGCGACAGTGTTGCTGGACGGCGGAGCTCGCTGGGATGCTGGGAGCAGCAGCCGAAGCACCGTGGACACTGCCACCCAGATTGTCACGTTGAATGTGACCATGTCCGACTCGATGTCATCGTCGCAATCGGTGGACCGTTGTGGCTGCACGGATCCCCGCGTTGCACGCGACAATACCGCCAGCACTGCTGTTGGTTGGCCACGCTTGAGCGCTCTGGCGTACCCAATGAGTTGGGAGCATTACTGCAATGTTCTCAGCTCAGAAATTTGTTGCTAATTCGCTGAGTGGTTGGTGATCTCCAGGTGCTCGGTGGAGGCGCTGGATCTCTGTTCGTAAGCGCCGACAAGATAACGTCAGAACTGGGTGAGAATGGCTGGGGAGCAGGCGCGTCGAAAGAAGATCGCACCACAGAGTACACGCCAGACGAGGCGCACTTGCCTCAGAAGCGTGCCATTCACGCCACAGCACGATTTCTCGCCACTGTTGTAAACCAGGACGTCGAGTAAACACCGTGATTGTAGCTCACGTCCTGTTTTCTCTCCTGTGAGTCCTGTTGAAAAAAAATGGCTTGTGTGCTCCTGTGCATGTTCCCTGAAAATGCGCCGCTGCTGCAGGGTCGAAATTCCACCTGGCTGCGCCACTTCTCTCGGGGAAAACGGGCATTCTCGCAAAGACAAAGAAGAAGTTGAATCCCATCAAATCACTATTCGACTCAAAGTTTGATGCCATTTCCGGAGGCCTGTTTCAATCATCTCCATTCAAATACGACGTGGGGTCAAAAGGTTCAGGAGTCCTGTCAGACGCGCTGTCTGCACTTGAGGACATTTCCTTGGATCCGTTTGCCGTGGGTGGCCAAGTGGTGAGCTCAGGATTGGCTGTGAAGCTGGGATTGCTGAACAGAATTTTCAACCATAAAAAGTCAGGTGTAGAGAGAGTGAACGAAGCTGTTGATTCTTTCATCAGCACAAAGGAAAAGAACACGAGAACCGCCATTGAGGCGGGCGTCGCTCTCGTTGGTGAGTGGTCCATTTTCACACCATTTATCAATTTAATGGTACATAAAGCACATTACACACGCTGCAGCGCTCTTAAGACTCGCAAGGCCATATAGCTCGTGCTCGTGCAAACAACATTATGAGAATGCTGCTGTGACTGTTGAGAAGATTCCGAACATCAAGACGACTCGAAGGAATGGTCAACAGAACGTCAGGCACTGAATCGAATATTTTTTCCATGTCGCAGCTGCTGTTGAATGAATGCTGTTTAATTGATGCCAGGGTTTATGTGGACTTCATTGTTCTCTTGCCGTGTTAGTTGTCGCTCTACTATTTCATTTGTTTTGTGTCTGTTGTTTTGGGTTGCTTTCCTCCTGTATCTGCATTTTAATTTCTATAGTGTTCTAGAATTTGGGGTTTCAAGGCAAGCAGCACAGCTTCCTCAGGCATCATCTGCTGTGTGGCAACTCGCAGTCCTGATATTTGCGTTTGCGGCACCATGCTTGCTTGCTCGCGTATTTATGTGAAAATGAATGTAAGCATGCGGCTGCATACTGACATTTGCGATTTGCATTGTCATGTTGAATACACACAGCGCAACACGTATCTTGGGCGAGTCACACGGGCACCGCCTCTATACCGACGGCGACGATTTCGGCAGGCATGCAGAGTTATCCATGTTCCAGGTCGAACGCGCGTGTGCGGTACTTTCGCGCAGTACGCGTAAAAAGCAAATGCCTGTTCACATGTTTGCAGAAAAGCCCTGTTTTCGCTTGAATAGGTTTTATGATTACTCACTCTTGCAAATGTGAGCAATCGCGAAACTATTGACGGTACAGACAAAGCCTGGGAAGAATTGTTTGGCGCATCGTGAAAAGACACAGAGAACACCAGTCGCGGCGCACGCCAAAATCGATCCACTGACGTGGGCACAATGCTCCTGTGGACGCACAATCAGTGCTGACTCTTGGTATTGGTGAAGCGATGTCCTGCACCTGGGTGGCAGATGCTGATCCAACGAGTGCAGCTATCAAGAATCTCATCTTCAAGGCTTTGATATTCCACCTATACGCTGACGCAAGTCTCCACGCCAAGCTGTCGGCGACGAGTGGCGCCATCAGTCGTCTTCTTGGGTGGAACAAATGGCTGAATCCACTGGTGAGATGTTACACGCTCCATACGAGTTTGACCACAGATAAGCAATCTGAATAATACTCTGCGAAACATCGTTTCCATAGCTGTAGTTCGAAGGTGACGCTCAGAGTACGTACGTCAAGCGCCCGGAAACCTCGGTGAGCACCTGCCGCTGGCGAGGAGGTAAATGTCGAGAGCATAATGCAGGATGGAGTTTCGTGCCCATCGCTCTTTCTGGAAGACATACCCCTGCCAAGGCGGGAACTGAATCTCAACTCAAGAAATGAATACAAGCACGTCCAAAAACTGTGGGTGCTTCCCGCTCACGATTTGGGCCCTAACTCAGGACTGCTGTAACATTCACTTTCTAAGCTCCTATGTCCTCCGGCGGACGCACCGAAGACCAACGCATTGGTCTTTGGTGATAATTTGGTGTAAATGTGGTCTTTGTTGATTTTTTTGACTGACCAACGCACTAATGCATCGCCTCACCGCAGGGATTGGACAAATTTATCATTAACCCCGGCGTCGGCGTTCTCCGAGGGGTCGCCGAGACGATCAGGGACGCCATCTCGGCGCCCGCAAGACTGTTTGGCGTTCAGAACCTGAGAGGCGCGCCGCCCACGTCGACCCTCATCAACAGCCCCTTCGCGGACACGGGCGACATCTTGAACACCCTCCAGAGCTTCACGCGCAGCCTCGACGTCCCCGTGCTCAGCGACGTGGTCGGCAGCCTCGCTCCCAGGACCGGAACCGATTTCTTCAACGGAGTCGTGGACGCCCTGCGCGGCATTGGGGTCACCACGACGGACGCCGTTCGATCCCAGCTGTCTCAATTCCGGGACTTGGCCTTTCGGTCCCTCAACCCCCTGGGGCTAAACACCCCCTTCAGGGACACTAGCCCCCTTAGGGACATCGTAGGGGGGTATGATGACGTCTTGGAAGTGCTGCGTGGCGTCACCAACGTATTTCGCTCCAGCGGGAATGGCGCCCTGGACACTCTCACGGCGGGGGGGGGCCTGCCTTCGCTGAACCTGGACCGAGTGGGACAGGCCTTCTCTCAGGCGGTGAGCGCCCTGGACGAGGGGACGGAGTTGGGCAAGCTGGCGGGGAGCCTGGGCGACTTGGACCTGCCCGACATCGACGGGCTCCAGGAGGCGGGGGAGAGACTGAAGGCGGCGAGGGACATCGTGGATCGCATCCGGGCGACGGTGGACGCTCAGAGTGTCGACGAACCGAACGATTCGTGAGACGTCTATTCGTCCATGCGCCCATTCGTCTGTTCGCCTGTTCGTCTCCGCGGCATGCGTTGTTGAATGAGGCCGGAGCGGTGCCGGATTGACGGGTATGAGAACGTGAAAGATGCGGGCGGGCAGTTGGCAGGCACCTGAGCGAACGTGGGCCACGCGAAGTGGCCCCGCGCAATGCAACTGACCCCCTCACGGGCGCATCACGATACCACAACTTCAACGTATTAATGTGAGGGTCAGCGTATGATTTTGATGTTTGCAGCTGCTACCAGGCTAGCCTGAAGATAGAAGCATGCTGGTTTGTCCCCGTTTGAGAGATCCAAGCGTTTGGATCTCTTAAACGGTGACAAGCCAACATGGCTATATCTTCCTCTGACGTGCCCATACTACATGCGTTTGGAGGGACTACCTGTTGCCCAAAGGACTGCATTCGGCAATGCTGCTTTTATGAAAACAGAGTCGGATTTCCATTGTGGCCCTTCAGCTGGATGCCAAGGTTATTGCTGAGCACCTGTGGGCTGGACTGCGAACTTATGCTGCGTCAAAACAATGACGGTCTTGAGCCATGGTTCCGTAGGGGGAAACTGGAATTTTCCGACTCTTGGCCAGGAATCGGAAAATTCAAGTGTTCCTCCTATGCACTGTGCTCCCATTGCAGTTTGTGCTATCTGTGCATTCAGAACAGCCAATAGAAAATGGGAATCAAGCGCACAACATCATTCAAGTCGAAAGGAGACACATCTTGCTCATTCGGAAAGAAAGTGCACAGAAATGCCATTGGAAACATTGTAAAACAAGTCAAGACGATCTTGTCAACAGTGCAGCGACAGGCAAAGGCACATGAGCGCAACGTGCGCATTAATCCACAATATTGCACAATAGTGCGCAGTAGTGCACAGTAGTGCATAGTAGTGCACAATATTGTGCATTGTCCAGAGATAACCGCAGCGTCATAAATACGCCCCGCTTGGGTCACGCCGGCCACACATTCATTCTAATTTTGAGCTCAAAATCAGGATTTGGTCCAGGTTTGGCTGTTGTTAAGCACACACCGCCGTGCTGCCCCCCGGGATCATGACCCGCGGCTGCGCCAACGGCTGGCCTCGCGGGGTTGGGCCCCATCACGATTGGGCGCCCTTACGTGGAGCGATCGCTCTCATGGGGATACGGGGAAAGGAGAGTCGGGCTTTGAGTCCGTGACGAGGGATGTTCCTTACACGGCAGCACCACATATATACTCTATGACAGAATGCTATTCCTGTCTGGTTTAACTTCAGCATGGTGTGTCCAATTCCCATTGCCCTCGCCAGGAACTCGTTTCCACGAAATCACACCATCAAAGCCGTGAACAAGCTTCGCATCTCGGCACCAACGCTGTCCCGTCCGAAGATTCCATAGGCACCCCACTGGGCCAGGTACCACAAGTACCCGAACAAGGCACAGATAGGGCGCGTGAGAGCTAGGACGCCTGTGACTCAGGCATCTGTACACCCGCATTGCGTTTCACTACCCAATGCCACCAAACATACCCTCACTCGACCCGTTCCCAAAAGCATTAACGAAATCCCGAAGACGAATAACACATGTGTATGTACATACAAGTGTTCCTCATGCTTTTGTCTGGGATATACTTCCTTCGTCCCAAATAAAAGTGCAGTTATGATCCATGGCCCTAGAATACCAACTAAAACGTGTCACAATTTCATTAAAAATTGCCACAATGTGGCAATTTATTCCTCAATTGTGATGCAGAATTTTTGATTCAATCAGTTAAGTGGTCAATCCGTAGTTCTATTTTGAACAGATTCCACTTTTCTGGAAACACCCCATTTTTTCAACTGGCGCGGAAACTGCCTGTTTCCGGGCCTTGGAACGTGCCACCTTGCCGTGGCTCTCTACAAGCGAAACCACAAGAGTTGGAGATGCCCTTTAGACTGTAGTACAGAGTAGAGATATAGAGGCAGGTGCAGACTGCCATGTCATTCTGAAAATGCGTGATCAAAAATCTCGCTTGCAGATTTGAGACAACGTGCCGAACAATTGAGACCATTGGCCAGCCATTCCGATATGTAATCAACAATCCCACCGGAATGAACTTGTCCCACATATGGTCAGGGAACCGAGATGTCCCAAGACATGGCGCGAGCAATTTCCAACAAGAGTTGAAAAGGTTGTGGCACACAACCAGTGCACAATTCGGGGAATGATGATTGAGGCTAAAGGCGGGCAAGATGCTCAATCATGCCTTTCGAGATGAGCTGGCGGCCTGCCCTTTGCTTTTGCATCTCTGCTCCAACGTGCAATCTGAAACCTGTCTCTAAGTCACGTCACTTTGCAAGATTGGGGGCACCAAAGAGGGATATGGTCCACGACCCCAAAACGGGCTACTTTGTAACCACCTTGAAATGCTTGGTTGAATGACATATGTTCGTGATGACACTACTGATTGGATACTTAGCCGATCAACTCAAAAATTCAGCCGTACAAAATAGACTCAAACTAAAACGTGTGTGGCAAATTTTTGTTGAAAATGCGATAAGGTTTGGTAGGCTTTCGAGGCCACGGTTCATAACTACAATTTAATATTGGGACGGAGGAAGTAGCTGCTTTTAAATTGTGTACCAGCGGCCAGGCAGCTGTGCAGGATAGTCACTGACACAAGAGTTTGGACACTGCAACCGCTTCCAGGCCTGGTGCCCAATCAGTGATACAAAGACACAAGTACCTTGAGTACATCTGCACCTGCGCTGCATAGTGATGTGAGAATTGTGGGAATAGCAATACGCCTCCTTTTCGAAGTTGTCAGCTGATCAAGCAGCGCGATATGGCGATATGGCGATATGGCGCGATGTGCCAAGTGACAAGCAGTTTGAGCGCACATGACGCACGAACTGGGAAGCCAACGTTATAGCTTTCAACCCGCAGAACAGACCGCAGCACTAATGCTCTGGCGATCTGACAAAAGCACTGACAGTATGTTCTGCGCCCGTGTAATACGGCGGTGCTCTGTCGTGTCTGGTGTTGCAGTCTCAGAATCGCCGCCAGTAGGTTGTGCTGGGTAACGCTGGTGATGACTCAGACTGAGTCACACCTACTGACCTGCTGCGTGCATGGCCCCACATTAGAGCGCGCCCGTCGTCCCTGGACAACCACCCACAAACGGAGCCATGTGCCTCAAGGGGCTCTTGGCCTTAGCGCTGCGAGTGAGCACGCCAGCCCCCAAGGAGTAAGTCCCCTGGGAAAGGAGGCCACATTTCCCATAAGGAACTGGCTCATTCATTGTCGGCCGGGCTGTTTGGGACGATCAGTCGAGGAAATAGAGAAACATCCTCGCTCATCGTGAAGGAATCCTTCTTTCTGCCCATCTACTTTAAACACGCTCTCTAGCGGGCCACAGGGCGCGAATTACCCTTTCCGATTGTTGGGCGGGCTCGCGGTGCTGCATTGCCTGCCAGAGCGAGACATCGCTCATTGAGCAGGGTGCAGTTGCAGACCCAAAAGCCAGTCGGTGGGCCATCCGCCCAGTTTGCATCGGGCGGGGAGGCTCTGCTGTGGCAGCCCGTCAAAGGCATGTGCTCCCAGGCAGCCATACTTCTGACCTTGGCCTCGCTGGTCTTGACGGTTTGGTCTGCTGTCTTTGGTGCCAAAAGTCCGCACTATGACCTCAAGTTCAACGGCACAAGCGGAGAGGGAGGGCAAGCAAAGGTGTTCATAACGGCCGAGGAGCTCGAGCAGATGATGGCGTCGGAGAAGGGCGTGACTATTTTGGACGCAAGGAACAAGATCAATCCTTTGGCGCTGTTGTTGAACCCCGGCGCGGGGTGGACAATTCCGGGTGAGAGGGCCGAAGAGGCCACAGCCACACTTTCCTTGTCGCAACCCTGGTGCTGTAAGTTGCCAATGGTGAATGGAGGCAGCTGAGCAGGCAGTAAGAGTACGGTTGTTGTGAATTTCAACAGGACCAGCTATGTTTGTTCACAACCGATGAATGGAAAGTAGCAATGAACCTCACAATTAGAGAAATGGAGTGCATTCAATGATCAAACCTTATCTGTGAGCAAAGGTTGATCCCCTTTACTCTACAGCAATACAATTTCAACCCGTTTTTCAACTTTTCTGCTGAGGACTAGTGGGTACTGTTCCTCAAGAGGACAACAGCATGGTGACTACCAATCTCAGATCATTGAGGACGCGATATGCAATCGAGCAGCAACACAACCATCGCGAAATGCAGATAGTTCATAAACCAAATGCTTTCGTCATCGATTGGTGGTTTTGTGGCTGAATACAAGTCTGTTTTCGCTATGGCATGGTTTCTCTGGGAAGTTTTTGTTGGACACCAGCGAACAACTCAGCATGTTAACATTCCAGCTGTGTTTGTTAATGTACAGGCAGGACAAGGTCATGATACGCATCTCAACTTCTGCTCTGCAAAATTTTACTATTTGGACTGCAAATTTCCACTAAGGCGGCCACTTTGTTTGTGTTCCAGGTGCATACAGGGCGCACTGGTTGGATTTTATTGCCCCAGGCACACGCGACACCCTGCTGCCTGTTCCAGAACTGGAAAAGATGTTTCGTGATAGAGGAGTGTCAAATGACGTGCCTGTCGTAGTGTATGGATCATGGACTGAGGCATGGGGGGAGGAAGGAAGAATTTACTGGCAGCTTGACTGGCTGGGCCATAAACAGACATACATTCTGTATGGCGGGTTGTTTGCTTGGAAGACAAGGCGACAGCAGGTGATAGGAAGCTGCATTCACTCTGTGGCTTGCTGTTGCTTTTTCTTGGTCCCCTGAATTTAGAGGTGGTTTTGCTTGCTGGTGCAGTTGTTGGCAGCCCCTTGCTGCAAATTCTGCCAGCTTCCAATTAATCGAATTTACAAAGTAGTCCCTGAGGACTGATTTGTCGCTATGCTTGACCACAGTTGAGTTTGTTCAGTCAGCCCCTTGCAACATGTATGCTCTGAATGGCTAATGCAGCACCCATGCACACAGAAGGCAATTGTGACTGGTGCCCAGAGGTGGCCAGCCAGACTGTGTTTTGAGCACTGACGAAGTTGTGCTGGTCAGGGGCGGGGTCGCAGCGGAATGGGAGACTTCGTGGCTCACCCGGTAGCCAACCGCACTATCGATGCCAACCAGATCATGACAAAGATGGACTCTGAGCCAAGCACCTTGCTGCTGCTGGACGTACGAACGACAGCAGAATATGAAGGTGCAAAGCTTTATGGAGCGAAACGTGGAGGCCACGTGCCTTCGGCAGTTCATTATGGGTGGTAGGTGGAAGGCCACGAGACGTGCACAGTGTAGATTGTGAAGCTGTGGATCCAAGAAAAGGTTGAGAGGGGAGTGGATCAATTTACTTGACAGCATTTGCTATAAGATATGATAACAATTGCCAAAGTGTAACAAAGCACTGTCCTTCCATCTTGAACGATATGACATGCATAGAAGAAAGTGGGGGTAGAGATTACAACACATGCTGGTTGTGCCACAGCCTGTTGTTTTGCTGACGTGCCACTCACCTTGCTGGTTTGGCAGGAAGCGTGTTTTTACTGATGATGGCAGTGGGAACCTTAAGAATCCTTCAGAGCTCCATGAAGAAATATCAAAGATGGGCAGGACTGATGGAGTGAAAATTGCTGCATATTGCACCGGTGGCATCCGTTCAGGATTCATGTATGCTGTGCTCAAGTGGCTAGGATACAAGGATATTGCCAACTATGCAGGTTCATGGTGGGACTGGGCAAGCAGGGAAGATTTGCCCATATCAACCGCAGCACCCGCAGCTCTTCCAGTTACCAAGTTGTAGACCAGTTCGTGTGCAATTTTTCACTGCTCTCTCATCTGTGAAACCGCTGGCGATGCTGAGGCTACGTTGCACCTGGATTGAGTTGCCACAAAGTCTCCTTGCTGGCATATCTATTGCAGTGGCGAAAGGGGGCACCTTCATGTTCTGAAAGGTTTGTGCACAACAGCACACTGCTGTCTTGATGCACGATCGTGGACCCCACTTGGCTGCCTCAACAGCTCAAAGTTCTGCTTGTGCAAGACAGCATCACATCCTCTGGTACCCAAACCATCTTCTGAGATCTTTTGCCCCCTAGTGCAGTTGCCCAGCAGAAGACCTCCCAGTGTCTGCCACGTTGTGATAGTTCTTGCTGTCCAAGTTGTACCGCTTTGGAAGCTTGTTGTATGGCACAATGGTCTGAAGGTCGCTGAGTTCCTTGATACATGCTTCATGCTGAAGTACTTGAAAGCGCTGCACAATGAACAGATGCTGTCCTCTTTTCCAGTTGCCTGCCACTCATTTTCCACAAGAATAACAACAAGATGTGCGGCAACATTGATATCAAAAGCTGCCTAGAACACTTGGTATCGTCTTGCATGGAGAATGTTGCTTTGATTGGTGGCACTAAATTTCATGCAAGGTGAGACAAGTACTGCAAGCCAGTTGCATGCCAGGATGGTTCCAAGGGCACTGACTGTGCTGTCCTCCACTGACAGCCAATGCCATACTTGATGTTGTGGACCTTGGTTTTGAGGAGAATGCGCAGCTATGCTTGTGTTGTGTGCGCCTCAGACACAGGCACCCTGCACTCCCCAGTCTCTGTTGGTTCCGAATCTATACGAAGGGCAAAGAAAAGGAGCTTGCTCTCTTTAAGGGTTGGATCTGGTCCAAGCCCATTGTGACCCATTGTCCCTGCAATTGACAAGATTTATGGATTCTACTTGGAATTTCACCGCATCTGCCAGCATAGCAACAAAGCTCAGTTTTGCAGTCACAAAGGTCAGATTTGCGCCTTGCACTACTAACATGACCTCCAGGCCAGGGCTTTGTTCATGTGAACCACCACCACTGGCTGCTAAACATGCTTCTGGTGTGGCTGGCACAAAAAGTTCTTGGTGAGTGATGTCGTGAGCGATCTGGAGTGGCTTACTGTGGATGCATCCGCCAGCCGCTCGTCTACGTGCTTCAGGCGCGTGCCAAGCCGATCGAGGTGGATCTCAAAGGAGTGTGCAGCGACAGTAAACGCCTCCAGGAAGCCGCCCATCGCCATTCGACACCAATCCTCGAAGACGGCCGCATCCCTGGAGAGCACGGCTCCCCTGCAAGACAGCGCGGCCAACGCGTGTGACCATTCCTTGTCCCATGCCACGCCGTTGTGTGCACACGTTGCCGGACGTGGATCGGCACGTGTGGAAATGCAGTGCCTGCAATGCTCTCTACCCTTTTTGGAGCTTCTTTGACCACGCTTTGCACTCCTCTCCGATATTCTCGGACGACGCTCTGATCTCTCCTAGAGCCAGGCGCAAGGATTGGGACGTGTGTTGTCTCTTGCTGCCGCGGCTGGACTGCGCTGGCTCCATGGTCCACGTGAAGCTATACTTCTTCAACAGCGCCGCCGAAACGATTCCCAAGAAAAATTATTGTGGCACGTCCGACACAAGCGCGTGTCTTGTAAGAGACGAGCGTCTTTCCCTGATTTAACTATTTTAGGGAAAAGAGCCATCATCAAGAAGAGATTCCGCTGGGGAAGCCACGGAAAGAAGGGCAGCGACGTGCCGCCAACGGCGGTGGAGAAAATCCATCCGACTTTCGGTATTGCTCTGGCGGGGGGCAGGGCGATTTCCTTGCTTGCTGATCTGGCGCAATGTTCGTTCTGGGAACAAGGTCACACCCGCTTCCACCCATTCGTAGGGCTCAACAACGTTCCTATTTTTGCGTTTGTGGAATGCCTGACGCCGAATCGCCGAACGCTCGAAACACCGTAGAGGACTCAACCCTTCCGCATGGTAACGTAATGTTCGGCCTTTTTGGCAGAGCAACATTAACAAAATGAATAACTCTCTGACAGGAAAAATGCGGAGCAAAAAGCGCAGCGGTAAAATTTTCTGATGAGGAAGGGTTGAATTCTCTACGGCAGAGCGGAAGGTTGCTGCCGCTGGCACCGCCAGTGCACCATGGGACCGTGCCTAAGGGCACGGGACGCAGTATCGTATGTCAGCTGGGTGGATGCCATCTAAGCACACAGGGCACAAACTTCAGCAAGGGCGGCCGCTACGGTGCACCTGGGAGCGAGGGCCTCCACCGACAGACGCCCGTGTGAACGAGTTCTGGGCCACCGTGCGCAGGCGCGGACCTGCAGATACTCAACGTGGGCAGAGGCGGAAGAGGTTGACCTTTGGACAGTTGGCGGCTTGTTGCCGCGGGGGACGGCGAGATGGGCTTCGGCGACAGGGGCCGAGGGCGGGGGCGCGGGGGCGGGCGCGGAGGGCGCGGAGGTGCGAAAAATTTGCGCCGCATCAGCGCCAAGGCGGCGGCATCTTGTCGTGTCGTTTCGCGGAGTGAACCGCTGTTGGTGCTCGGGCAGGTGGGCGCGGTTTCCGTGGCGGCGGTAGGGGTGGCCGCGGTCGCGGCGGTGTGCACAAGCCCGGGATGAGAGGTGGTGCCAAGGTGAGTTTCGCTGCGCTCCAAGAAAGAACGGCGCTGAGGTGTGTCCCGGCTAGTCTTGGTGCTCGGCGGTGGCCTGAATCTCTCTTTGTTGTTGTGGTCTTGGCCGTCAATGGGGCTGAATGGTGACATGCCGAACGTCCAGGTGGCCATAGAATCCCATCGGCACGAGGGGATATACATTGCAAGGGGCAAGGAGGACAGCCTAGTCACCAAAAACATGGTTCCGGGCGAGAGCGTGTACAATGAAAAGAGGATCAGCGTTGAGGTAGGCATGGCTGTCTGCAACCATTCACGGAAATTAGTGGCAACCAAATGGAACCGAGCGCACAGTGCTGTTTTTTTCATGTTGTGGCTGTTGGAGGGCCAATGTTGAGCGAGCCACGGCGGCTGGTAATAAGGTTATAAGCTCTCTCATGCAGATTCTTGGGCGATCCATGTGTGTGTGATGAAAGATACAACTGCATGCCGGTGGAGATTTGTTGGCAGTCAGCTCTGAAGGCATGCATCCATGGTGTAGAGTTCTAAGTCTGCAGCTGTGCTATTTTTGCAGGTGGGGGAGGGCGAGAACAAGGAGAAGGTGGAGTACAGGGTATGGAATCCATTCCGTTCGAAGCTGGCAGCCGCCATTCTTGCAGGACTCGATCACATCTACATGAAACCAGGTTGCAAGCTGCTGTATTTGGGTGCAGCATCAGGTGAGCACTGGGGCCAGGTGGCAAGGAAAGTTGCCTGGTAACAGCTCTATTCACCAACACCATTGACAGAGGGTCAATGGTTGGAATGGAATCAGCTCGATGGACAGGCCTGTCCATCAATGTCGATCATGTCTGCATTGCATGTGGTGGTCCTGCAGATTGTCTAACTACAGTGCATTTTGATGTTCGTGCAGGCACTACAGTTTCTCACTGCTCAGATCTTGTGGGGCCAGAGGGGAATGTGTATGCTGTGGAGTTTTCTCATAGAAGTGGTGCGTGCGGCCACCACTGCATGAAAGAAGCGACGCCACCGCCAATCAATTTGCTTGGCGATTGGCATGCACAGTGCATGTACGGATAGATGGTGCCCTGTATGTACGCCCTTGCTGTTTATCAAACATGCAGCTCATAAAAGCACAGAGAACAACGATTCCTCATTGTCATGTGCTTGCAGGAAGAGACTTATTGAACATGGCAAAGAAACGGCCAAATGTTGTCCCAATCATTGAGGATGCCCGGTATCCAGCCAGATACCGAATGTTGGTGCCCATGGTCGATGTGATCTTCGCTGACGTTGCTCAGCCAGATCAAGGAAGGATCGTTGGATTGAATGCCCAGTATTTCTTGAAGAATGAAGGGCACTTTGCAATCTCCATTAAGGTATGCACAAGTTGCTAAGAAATGGAAGTGTACCATTATCATGTGTTATTGTCCAGAGGATAATAGAGTTTTCTTTGGCCTTTGAAAGTTTAGCGCATGAAGGATTGTTGTTGTGCAGTCTGCTGAGCCAGGGCACACTGTTTACATTGGCATGACAACTTGCTTGGAAGGGTCCACTGTATGCAAGCCACCATGACAGTGTTCATGGCCAGTTGCCCCTTCCATTAGCATCGGTCATTGTGGTAACCCATGTGCCTGCAAGGCCCTCCCAAACTATTGATTTGCCAGCAAGGTTGCCACCCAAACTTGCTAACTGCTGCATGAGCCAAGGTGCTAATGCTCAGGCATATTTGGACGTCTAATTTGCTTCAGAGACTTTGCTGTTTCGTTTGTGAAGGGCTATAACTGATGCAATTGTTAGCTTCCCTGGAACGTGCCATTTTCCTCATGGTCTATTGACCACTCCATGTCCAACTCGCTTCTTGCGCTGCAGGCCAGTTGCATCGATTCCACGGCTCAGCCAGAAGCAGTGTTTGCTCGTGAGGTGAAGAAGCTGCAAGAGATGGAACTGAAACCTAAGGAGCAAATCACTCTGGAACCATTTGAGAGAGACCATGCCATGGTGGTTGGGGTCTTCAGGCCACCACCCAAAGAAAAGGCAGGCTAGCTGCTCAAGTGGCAGTAGCCATGTGCAGCCCATCCCTGCGGCCTTGTACACATATGCCTGCCCATCTTTGTAACTGCATACATTCTATTGGTACTGCATCCTTTGCCAATTGAAACTGGCAACCGATAGCATTGTTGAGCAGCACGAAGTTTGCAGGGCTTCGATTCCTTCACGGAAGGATTGTGTTGAGGCAGGGATTATCTGACTCCACAATACCAGGTTTGGTATATGTGTACCTGCTTGTCACTGGCAGTCGACACGGCGTTTGGACCGGCGGCCCCCTGGCATTATGATTGAAGAGCGAGGCGAAAATGGGAAGGTTCGACTTTAGAATAGATTTACAACCGGAACAAGAATGAAGGACGGTAGGATGTTAGTACTTGGGTGCAGGATGCTGCGAATGGTTGAGGGATTTGCAACACTGTGTCTATGGCAGTACGCGCGGATGGCCACTTTGGCAACAGGCTGCACCACCGCGGTGACTTAAATGGCTGCCTCGTGACCATTTCGCTGTCCCAGTGGGCGTCATTCGTTGGGAGTTTGTTTGCCTGTGCATGGGGTTGGAGATGCACATATTGGGTCACCCACAATGCTGTCCCAATACTGTCAACCGAGTTGGTTTGTGTCTCGTGGCCCCTTGTGGGAATGTCGCACAGCTGGTTCTGAGAAGAGGAGGGGGGGCGCTTGCACACCTAACCCATCATCAGCGACTTCACAAGCGGGAGATGTGGTACCACGGGGCGGAGTGTTGCGAATTCGCTTCGAACTGCGGTGCGAAGTGATGTCAGAAATGCCTTCCCATCCACTCGGTGCCAATGACGCAAATTGACGACCTCAATCCGGACAAGGAGGGCGATCGGCGGCACTCTGCAGACGGCGTGCGTACGGCGACGGGGACCCGGCAAATGCGACGGTCCTCCACAGTGGGATTGTGTTGACAGCCTCCCCGCTACTTCACCGGGAATCGGCGAGAGACGGTCACTTTCGACTGTCGACCAGTCCATAACGCATCAGCAACCCTCCAGTCCCGATCCCGCCTTCGGAAAACGAGCCGGTCGCCCTTCACACCAGGAGGCCCGTGCGCCGGCACCCGAGCGCAGGATGAGTTCAAACGTGTGTGAATCACGACGGCGGACGGACCACAGCGCTGCGACAGTGGGCGACCCGCCGCAGAGGCGACTGCCGTTGCGCGCGAACGGCGCGCCGCGCCGCTCAAGACGATCGCCGTCAAGAAGATCCCGCGATCTTGCGCGAGCAGCAGAGTTCTGGCAGCTCGCCGGCACATTCTGCACACCGCTCCTCAAAATGCCGATCCTCGCCTTTCACTGCGACGCCTAGTAATGAAAAAAATGAACGACACCGCCTTTTCAGCAGCCGCTTCGGCCGCCACAAACGGTGCCTAGCGACTGTTGCCCTGCGGTGCACTGCCCATCGGGGCAGCTTGCCTGCGGCGCCAGCACAGACCCATGGGCAGTTGACTGTGGGTCAGCCGGTTGAGCGCGCGGCTTCTGTGTCCGCAGGGCAACGTCCCCAACCCCGCCACCTTAATCAAGACCAAGCCGCGGTCCGAGCGGAATCGGGTGGTCGTCACCGGGGGGGCGGGCTTCGTCGGAAGCCACCTGTGCGAATTCCTTGTGCAGAGGGGCGACCATGTACGGCCTCGCGTAAAGTACAGCAGCGAGCAGCAAATAGTTGGAGTATACATTTGGGCATGGCACTTTAGAGTACTTCGAAGTACAACAAAGCAGCAAAGTTTGTAAATGAACAATGGCTAATAACTAAATATAAAATAACAAATAGTTGTTTAAGTAAAGTATTAGGATGAGTGCCTTGAAAACGCTGGAATACTGAGGAGCCGGGCTGTCAGGGAACTTGTTAGAATGGGCGCTGTCGATCGAGGCAGCCCACTGGGCATGAGTCAATCTGGCATAGGCGCACTGTGAATGACATGACGTGAGACACGTAATTACAAGCCGGAGTCGCTGTTCGAGCGACAGAACTTTCAAGTCAGCCTTGCTAATGGCCCACAATGAATCTTCTTGTTTGTTCTTGAACAAATACCTGGGTGACATGAATGACGCATACATGAGGCTGGGCAGCTTCATGCATGCGTCATTCACGTGCATTGGCTTGATACAGATTTCCACACCCTGATGTACAAGTCTCGAACTACACCGTCCAGGCGCCTGTTGCCTGGATGCCATTCACCGCCGATGCTCCGGGCACAGCGCTTGAACAGTGCAGTCCAGCGGTAAGCGGGAGCTGCTTCGATGCGCCAACTGAATTCACGTGCTGGCAGCTGGGTCGACAGTATCCACAAGCTGTGTGTGTCGACAGCGCATGTTCGCCTTCGCAGGTCATTTGTCTGGACAACTTCTTCACGGGCAGCAAGGAGAATGTGGCCCACCTTATGGGCAAGCCAAACTTCGAGCTCATTCGGCACGATGTGGTGGAGAGAGTCCTTCTGGAAGTGGACCAAATCTACCACCTTGCCTGCCCCGCGTCTCCAATCCACTACAAGTGCGAACAGAACTGAGCGCCTCCACCCGCCACTGGTGCAAAACTCATCAACAGTGCTGCTGCAGAATGTCGCCAAAAATCGGTCAGGATTTTGCAGTTTCGTCCCGTTTTAGCACGCAGCACACTGTTGATACACACTTTTGGCTCACGGATGACACATCACTGACACATCGAAATGAGAGGTATGGGCATCGGTGCCAGCGACAGTGCATAAAATTGTACAGCCGTTCTAACGCCAAACTCTACTACAAAGAGGGCACTGCAATGGCCCCGACCATGAGGTACTCTAGTGGCGTACGTGCTGCTTGCATCTGGAAATAATGTTGACCTTGATTCCATATTGTGTGCGCAGTATCACTGACGCAACGCCCAACAATGCTGCACAAGTCCAGTGTATCAGAATATAAGCAATGTATCAGAATATGAGCAACGTTAGCACAGACATCAGCGCTTGTCAATATCGACAACTGGGCACTTGCTACAGCGTTGCTCGGCTTTGTACCAGCGGCATTGCTGCCGCCATGTTGCACCAGCACCTACCCTTTCTCCGGATGTAAGATGCATGGGTCATGAAGGGATTCGTCGGTCGCAAACAAAATCGAAAACAGTGAACCGGCGTGTAGCGACTGAGCAGCACGTATGATTGAAAGGGATTTCTGGTCATCAGGGCAATAAGACTTCTCAATACAATGATGAGCATTGAAAGCAGCTAGTTGAGACATGGAGCGAATGCATCAAAAGTTGGACGCGCCACATGGCGACGGCGCATCACATGATACCAGTGGCCATCATCAATGTTTTCACCAAAATGCATTCAGTACTGAGTGCACCCATCATTCAGGTACAATCCAATCAAAACCTCCAAAACGAGCTTCTTGGGCACCATGAACATGCTTGGTCTGGCCAAGCGTTGTCGTGCGAGGTTCCTTATCTCGAGCACAAGCGAAGTATATGGCGACCCACTTCAGCACCCTCAAGAGGAAACGTACTGGGGAAATGTCAATCCCGTCGGTGAACGCAGCTGCTACGACGAAGGTGTGTCTAGTTTCGGCAGTACACAGAAAGATGACGGCAGTTCAGAGTAGTACATTACAGCCACGGACACACGGACACGAAAGACTGAGCAAATTCGTTAATTGAATGACACGAAGGTATACTGAAGCCCCCCGCCATACCACTGATATTTCAACACCAACGCAACTGCCAAACTTCCTGAATTTTCAAGCGTTGCTGTCTGATATTGCAAAGTACCATTTGCGGAGTGAATGAACCAAATTAGGACCAAAGCGCCTCATGATTCGATGCACGCGTTTTCCCGCCCCCTTTCTATTGGCAGCGTGGCAGTTGCGAGGCCGCAGCTGAAGAGTTCTATTCTATCTTGACCGCTTCAGCCTAATGTGTTGCACTGCAGGGAAGAGGGTAGCAGAAACACTGACCATGGACTACCACAGAGAGCACGGACTCGAGGTTTGTACCCAGCTGGAGTGCTGGTGGTGGAGGGGCGCTTCACAAAGCGCCCAAACTCAATAACAGTGCATTTGATGTTATAAAACACGCATTTTATGGTCCGCGCATCAATGAACAAAGGGGAGGAGAGCCGTTGGTCTGATGTTAACTGTCAGAATGGGCACAAGAGTTCTGCAGCCGTCGCCCCAGCAAGAGCCCTTGCAACATCAATTGCCGGGACCACATGAAAGCACACAAAGGGCAATCCAACCCTCCCTATCTAGTGTCCAATATATTCCACAAATATCATTCGTTAGCATCAGCAGCGACTTAATCGAATTCAGAAGTGTACTTGTTCGGGCTTGAAGCACTGAAGTGTTTTGCTTGGATGTAGCTCTATCCATCTTGCAATCTATTCCGATGTTGGGTCCTGCAGCCCACATTAAGGGATGGCCGCATGTTTTGAGCCACACAGTATGTCCACGCGTGCCGGTGTTGTGCACAACACCCCCGAATTTGACACATTGACTTTCTTTTCTTGTCACAGGTTCGGATTGTTCGAATCTTCAACACATACGGTCCACGGATGGCTCTGGACGACGGCAGGGTCGTCAGCAACTTTGTCGCCCAAGCCCTGAAGAATGAGCCGCTCACGGTGTATGGAGACGGCACGCAGACGAGGTCCTTTCAATTCGTCACGGATCTCGTGAAGGGCATGGTGGCTGTGATGGACGGGGCACATGTGGGGCCCTTCAACATTGGTAAGAACACTGGTGCCGGAATCCGCCAGCGGATAGCTATCTCCACACCGTGCGGATAGAATCCAGAAACTCGCAGCAAAACGCAAGTTTAGTGACGCGGGTGTGTTGATGCGCGTGGGCTGTGCTATCAAATATATTACAGAAATGGTACCTTGCTAAGAAATTCAACTACGCACCAAATGCGTTCCCAACACTGGACCAGAATGCACACATGGAGATTATGCGGGCATCGCTGCTGAAGTCCACACCCGCGAATTGGGAATAATTGTCTGGGGAATAGGCCAAACCTGTTCGCCTGGCAACTTCCCCATATCAGCAACAGAGGGTTCAGCAACCACGTACCAAATGCCCCGTAGCCTCCTATGTGTAATAGGTTATTTGGCCTGCTATGTAACCCACAAGAACAATCAGGAACAAAGTCTATTAAACAACCTTTAGGGTTCTTTGGCCCAGGTTGTCATGACGTCGCACAGGCCACAACGCGCCTGGCTATGGCATGAAGACTCTTCCGCACGTCCTCTGCAGCAGATACGGATACGCACTGCTTTACATGAACGCACGATCGGTCAACCAGTTGTCCTTTGCAAGCACAACGACTATCTCTGTTTTCTGACAGCGGAGCGCGTTGCAGGAAATCCTGGCGAGTTCACCATGCTGGAATTGGCCAACCTTGTGAAGGAAGTCGTCAACCCAAAGGCGACTATTGAGTTTCGCGAAAACACTTCCGACGACCCTTCAAGGAGGCGCCCAAACATCACGAAAGCGAAGGAGATTCTGGGATGGGAGCCCAAGGTCGCCCTCAGGGACGGGCTGGCAATGATGGTCCAAGACTTCAAAAAGAGGCTTGGATTGGGCGCATAGGTCCTTTGCGGTGCAATCGCGCTAGTGTTGGCCGATACCAACAAATTGCAGCGAAGGCTAATGTGTACAAACACGGTGGCACGTACGGTGCCTCAAGGGTGGGTCGTGTGGCACTCACCGACGGTAATCGGCAATGAAATGTACGGTTTCCTTCGAAACACAATATACTACGAAGCCTAATCGTCAGTCCTCCACAATGTTTCCCACCGAGTTGCATTCCTTCGAAAGTGTGCACAATCTGCAAACTGTGTGTAAAACCTCGATGCCAAGGCATGCCACGGGCGCCCAATCCTTCCTGACAAATAATTCGGTGATGCCCAATGATCACAACAAAAATTTCCAGCGCCTGGCAGTGGCCACTTATGTTAGCCCCTCGCCTTGCTTACGTGGAAGGGACCAAACGGCAGCGGGTTCAGCCACTGGTATGCATTAGCACACAATAGACCCCACCAACAGCACTGCTTGGTACCAAGACACAGGCAACCTACACCAATTGATCAGAATCGCCTGCGAGACTTGAGCATTGCAGCGAAGACAGGTCAGGAACTGAAGCAAACATTCAAATTGGCCCCGTGGTGCACTGTTAATCACTGCGTCTATGCAGAATCCATTCGCATGATAACACTTCATGAGCTGATAGAACATGTTTTAACATGTTAATGCCACCCAACAACAGCACTGTCGTACACAGATTCCCTCCATCCGTTTGTACACCTCGAGTGGGTTAATCAGTGTGGAACCATACCAGCCACCACTGACTCAAAAGTTTTGGAGGCGCATATGACTGGCTGCAGTTTGGGTAGAATTGGTTGTCAGTGGTCCGCCTCGCTGAGCCCCGGGCAGGCAGCCTGCATTTCCTCAGAGCTTTCATACTGTGAACAGTAGAGTGCCATCAACAACGTCAGTCAGTTGCCAGTCATCGCACTCAGCAAGCCATCTAGGAATCCATCTCAGCCAGCTAGATGAACTTGATTGACTGAACAATCCTCAAAAGCAGAGAATATGTCAGTGGAGAATACATTCCTGACTTATATCCTGAGTTACATATGATGTTGGGGGCTCTGGCCAGATTTGCAAGCCTACATCCCCTAATGACACCACAATGCTGTGCACACACTCGATTCTTTGGCCAACTCAAGGTGCACCACCCCATGGCAAGGGTAGAACCAAAATGCATGCAGTGATGTTTCATGCACTCAGCCTGGACCACACAAGGCAGCACACTGGCGTTTTGCCAGCATCAAGGACGTCAGACAAAACACAGCAACAAAACTGAGCCACATTGTCCTCAATTTTGGACAGTGTTGCCCACCTTGCAGCCACACCAGAAGCAGTAGCAGTAAGTTTCCCGCAGATATTGCACCACATCTTGTAAACGTTCGCCTGCTGGCAGTGAGTTCCATTCTGTTTGTGCCACATCACTGTCCATTTGCAACTCTTTGGAAAACCCTTCCTCCTCGTCAGCTGGATCCTTCCCTGCACATTACTGACAACGAGAATCAAGAGTTGCAAGCATCATAGTGAAGCAGCATCAATCCATGTACCAATATCGTCTCAGAATTCAGGCAAAAACAAAAGTTGCAAGCCAACAATGACAAGGATCCAGCAAGTGCTTTGTTGCAATAGGACCTGCCCATGATATGTGTGGTGGCAGCACACAGTGACACTGTGTAAGAGCAAAACACATCTAACTGTGGCAGCGCATTTATGAATGTGCTTCCAACATCAGAACTCCCCTCCCACTCTGGCTGCACTGCCTTCCATACCTATTGCTGGCCAGAAAGTGTGTGGTTCTACACAATTCTCTCTGTCCAGTTGCTCCACAGCGTTCTGGGCAGACCTCAGCTGACCTTCAGCTTTCTGATCCTGAAAAGAACGGGATGCAAAATCACGATAGCCCTGTGCCAATTTCAAACGCTTTGATTCTGCACAGCACAACACGAACGTCAGAGGCTGAAGTACAGACAAGGGAGGAAACTCCACATTCAATGTACATCCAAACTATGGGCATTAACACAGCAAACCATCGTGGAAGCAATGCGTCATGAACAACTGCACAACATCAGCTTTGGAAAATTAGCGCACCTTCTCCAACTCGGTGTTTTTCACGCATTCTTTGCTTCCTCTTTCTAGGATCTTCTGCTCCCAGGCCTTGCCTGCCCTGCCTAACAATCACGTCAATGGGATCCACAGCACCCTTGCCTTCAGTTCCAAGCCCTTGTCCATGCTGGTATCCCATCTGAGCCAGTAGCTGATAGCCCCTGCAAGGTTCACAGTGATAATTTCACATGTTCGTCATTGTCCTGACTGCTGAGAGCTCACGGCGCTCCCTTCAAACCATGAATTCCAACACCGCCATCAATGCCCAGTCACACCATATAGTACACAGCTGTTCAAAACTGACAAGGACAACACCTACCCCACAAAAGCCACACTGGTAAATCAGCCAGGCTTGCGTATGCGTACATATGCATATGGATAGCGTGGCACTTGGTCTGGGAGAGTGTGACATTTGATGTAGTGAATAAACAAACTGTGATCCAAAGTGCACCCACAACATGCAACGATGGCCAGTGACCTGACTATCCAACCTCCAGCACGATCCCAGTGGCGAAATTTCGAAGGGACACGCTTACTGCCACATTTTTCCTCCCTTCAGTGTTCTTGGGTGCCCATGGTTGGCTGGACCAAAGATGATGAACTCTTGAGCTAACAGTCCACCAGTTGCCCAACATTCAGTTGCAGTTCTGGAAATATACAGGGGTCCCGTGGCATTTTTCAGCTTCAGTACTGGGAAATATTTCGTCCTCAGGTGGCAAGAACCTTACTTGTTGCTTGGTGCAATTCTCTCTGTCAGGCCCTTCTCCCTCAGTCCTGACATGCTCTTGGGAGCAGCCACTTGTGCCTGGGCAGCCTCCAGGTCAGCTTTTGCCTGGCATTCATATTGCCGCATTAAGGCAGCCAGTTCATCGTCCTCCCCGTACTGGTCGTGTGCATTGCTCAATTGTTCTTTATGGGTTCCCCCCTGTCTGCACTTGTACTCATGTTTCAATGTGGCCACTTTGTCTTGGATCCCTTGTTCCGTGTGCTGCTCTGTCGTGCTTGCTCTGCATGTGCAACTTTCCCAACGTCTCAATTGGACTGCTAGGTTTGAGCCCAGCCATTGCATGGACACCAGATCCAAATTGGATCCAAATTGGCAGTTTGAAACTTGCAGCACAGGTATCCACATACGATCAGCCGCCCTCGTGGGCCTCAAGGGCCACCCATGGGCCGCTCACTGGCAATTGGAAACAAAGGATTTCAGCACTCGTGGAAAACAAAAAGTCCCAGACAGCGCTGTCAACAGCACTGAATTGCAGTCCTGAACTGCAATCAAACACTGTCAGCCACACAACAGCTCCACAAACGGCGAAACCCAAAATGGTCGAGGAGGACATGAGCGCGCTGCAAACATTAACGAGATCACAGTCGCCAAGGTCTCACCGTCCATCGCTCCCAACAACGGGCGCACCCTGGCGTTTGTTTGGGTTCTCCACAAACCGCCGCCCTGTCGGCCTCGCTGGGCGTCCACAGCTTCCTCTCCCGCCTGAGTATCACCCCCTTGCTGCGCCTCATGTTTCTAGAAAATAGGTTGCCTCGATGGGTTTCGCGTCCAGCGACCGTCGCGTTTTGTTCACCGCCTGGAGACCACCCTTGACCGGCAAGGTCCTGCAGCCGGCGAGGGCGCAAACAGGTGGCAAGAAACGCGGGCGCTGCTTCCAATCCGCCCTCTTCAGGATGTCTGGGGCGACCTCGCCTCCCACACACCCTCCCACGCAGCAACCACAGCCGTCCCGGTTGGCCGCTGGCCGCGTTGTATTAAAACACTCTCTTGCACAAGAATTTGGGGAAGGGTCGAAAGAAAATGTGCCCCACATCGATGTACCGATGCACAACAATCGGGCCATTTGACTTGTGTGTGCGTCCCGAGAACAAAAAGGAGCAGAGCGTCACATATTCGGATGGCGCCCGCCCACCCCTTGGCCAGATCTGCAGCGCCGCGCGGACGGAAACCGCCGTCTGCGGTGCCCGGTCAGCACAGCCACGCCCGGCTGCCTCCCTCCCATGAGCTGCACGTGCCCAGTGACCGCAATCTGCGGCGCCAGCCGGCCCGCCAAGGTGCGATGCCCCCTGGGCGATTGGCTGGCCGGGCGAGTGGTCGCCGGGAGAACGTCGAGGATTGTTGCTGAGTCTCGACTGCTTTGTTGCCCTGGAGGTTGCGCCGCGATGCACGCAAGTCAGAGCCGCCGGCGGTGAGCAGCAGCTTGCATGACGGTGGATCGTTGTGGACCCTGGGGCCCACAACGATGTGCTGGCTCCCTGCTTTGGGACTTGTGTTGCTGGGGCTACGAGCACAGCAGTGATGTTGAATTGTGGATCGACGTTTTAGGGACTCAGAAAGCTATTGATTGATTTGCTGAATCTCAAATCTGGAATGCACAATGTCTCTTGGGAACACCATGCTTTGCTGCAATGTATGTTGAGACAACAGCAACAGTCAGCCATGTCTGTTTGGAGTAGCGCCCGTGAGAGTGGCGTGTACCACACGTTCTCTCCCCCACCCAGATCGACCCGATTTGAAGTTGTACCACTCGTTGGCGTCAAAGGATACCAATAGCACTGTTTGTGTACTCAGATGTGGAAACCAATCCTTCACCAGCTGCATCCCCCAACCCGATGCGCCGAAATTTCCTGCAGCAGGGGGTGGCAAGTGCTGTTGCACTGTTGGGTCTGAGGTGAGTCGCTGCCTGGTGGCTGGATGCCATAAGGTAACAATTCCATGCTCCAGGTTGTGCTATTTTGCTCTTCCTTTCCCACATTTTGCATCGCATTCAACAAGACCATCAGGTGCCACCAGTGTCTCGACGGAAAAATGGGGCAGGTCTTGCCACCTTGATGGGTTGAGTAACATGATATCAGGACCTCCAAAGAATTTATGGCACAAGGATGAATGCAAGAATTCAGAAACAAAGAAGTTCAACTTGTTATGTTGGTACTTGATTTAGTCAGAGCACAGGCCCCCACGCCAACGAAAGCAAGCCTTCAGCTTTCATATTCAACTTTTGGTGCTGATTTGGAACTAACAAGCAAATCAACATTCCTATTGCATTGGGATCACATCGACTGTTGTTGGGAATCACCTGAGAACGGTTGGTGAATGCCCTCCAAATCAGCGGATCTGCTCGCCCAATGGCAACATCTTGGCGCGTATATGCCAGCAGCATTCATTCTTGTAGTCTCTTATTGACTACTAAAGGGTCGCATCCACAGTTTGATGTCACTACCCCTGATGGAGACTGTGCTTGCTGTCTGCCCAGCTGGCATTTGTGTCAAACTGCTGTGCTGTTATTTCAAATTGGCTGGCACCGACTGGTTTCAAGTAGTTTGCAACCCATTCTTTGGCGTTGGATGCACGCATAACCCAATCCCTACACCATTATGTGGGTGCAGGTCCTGGTAGGGCATAATGCATTGCCACTGCCCGTACCGACATGCCCACAGAATTCTGATGCTGCCTTTGCATGTGTCTTTACAGCTGGGCCCCAGAGTCCCATGCCTTCACAAGCGACCTGTGTGACGCTGATTGCGATGCGGGTCTTGGAAGTCGTGAACTTGTCACAACCAGCTCAGGGCTGCAATACAAGGACTTGGTGGTGGGGAAGGGCCCGACCCCTCCTGTCGGCTTTCAGGTTTGTGCATGGAGACAGACAAGGACCAGCAATAGTCACTTCATGCCTGCCACAAAAGTGGAAATTGCTGAATTCCCTAAAGTACCCATCCTTACTTTTGTTCCTGCATGCTACACACTTTTAAATAGCCAGAGAGAGCAGGTGCTCTTTCAATGCAGACAAAGTGAAAAAATTGCAGAAACACTTGTTGTTGATATTACTATGAATCAACAAGCGCTGAACGCATTGATTTTCCAATCCCGTCTCTTGCATAGTATGCATCCTTTTGCCATGTAGTATGCGATGCGATTGGATTTTGAGAAGGCCAGCCCCAGGTAATCGTCTGCATACTGCCGCTTGGCTTGTGGTTGGCTTGGGCTATTTGTTCTTTAGTGCATGAGACTGTTGCTGTTATGCTTATCTTAATGTGCACATTGTCCACAAAAATGTGCACGAGAAGTCGTGCACTGAGACCCACATGCGCCAATCTTCTTGTGATAGGTTGTTGCGCATTACATCGCAATGACACCTGAAGGTCGTGTTTTCGAGAGCAGCTTTGAGAGAGGGGCTCCTTATGATATAAGGTAGGTTGCATGCTGCCAACCTGTCCTGAACTGAGCAAGGTCAGATGCTCCCTTGGATTGCAGTATCCACAAACACCTGATGCGCAGTGAACTGTCACCCGGAAGGGCCTGACTGGTGCAGCAGAATCCAACCAGGATATCAATGCATGGCGCAGCAATTTGCTTGGGGAGGGAGTGCAGGTAACCGATTGTTGTGCACAGCTGTCTTGTTGGCATGATCTTGTCGATGGGGCAGCTGGGGCTTCTGAATGGCAGTGGAGGCAGTGGCGATGGTGCTTGGAGACTCCCCCAGATGGAATTACCAGGGAAACATCTGCGCAGGCGCAAGATGTACAAGCCGCATTGTCTGCTAGATGATGTCACGTTTGCACACCTTTGCAGCGTGGCTATAGCCTCCATTGTGCGCTTTGTGTGCTTTAGTCAAGCCAGCAAAACAGCCTGGTTGTGACTCCGATCAATGTGCACTGATGCTGTCAGCAGCTCTGTGCTCATCAGCAATATGACAGGATCAGGGCCCCAGGATAGGATATGCATCCAAACCGTACTGAAACTCTCGGCTGAATTGCCCATTCGCAGAGTGGGTGCTGGTATCGTCATTGCTGGACTCGATGAAGGACTGCTGACCATGCGGCCAGGAGGGATCCGGCGGCTTTTTATTCCTGGAGACCTTGCCTTCCCCAACGGGTTGAAAGCAGCTGCAGGACGAGCACGTGTTCCCCCTGCCAGCCCTGTCGTTTTTGATGTCCAACTCCTATATATACCAGGTACCTGTGTGTTAGCGGCGAAAACCCAGGGCTGAACGCAGTGCACAAAGAAAAGAAATCTCCCGCAACATGCATTCCGTCAATTGCAAGCAAACAGTGGCAACAGAAATTTTCTAATGCCTCAGCAAGCTCACAACATTGAGAATGCAGGAAGCCATAGTCATTGTGATGGGGCAGCTGATCAACTGGTATAAGCAACTGCACACTGGCCCCAAACTCTGGACCTGTAGGTAGCCACAGGTTCTTGGTCAAATAGAACTGGCAGTTCATGATTTCCTGCATATTCAAGACGACGTTGCCTTGTTCATATTGTGCCACAGTACATGTGTCATAAATGTGCGGCCTTCTCAAATGCATTGTCTTTTGTCAGTATGTTAATTGGACTCTTGCATCCTTGCGCTCAACTTCCCCGGCTGTGTGATGCCACAATGCTGTAACAGCACGACCCTGTCTTGCTCCTTTGCCTTTGTGGAATTTGAACACCCTTCCTGTAGATTGCTTAAGTGCGCAGATACAACAAATTGTTTGGGAGCAACAGTGTCTGTAGAAAGATGTTGTCGTCGCCCGAAATCGTGCATGGCAGTGCTTTGTCATTTGGTACATCGATCTCGATGAGCGGATTGGCACCACCTTATTGCTTGTGTGCAGGGATGGACATCGAAGAATGAGCACTCACAACAGATTTGCCGCAGTCTAGCGGATGGCCCCTTCACATATCCAAGCACATGGGATGGTGCAGCAGTTTTGGAGTCCCACGCGGGCAGGCCTACACCAAGGGTGCTCATGGCTGGCAAGGGGATTCTTACACAACCCTGCCATGACCCACTGCGTCATTTTGAGTATGTCTATGAGACCTTGGGGGCCTTGACACAATCAATGCTTTGTACAAACATGATTTTCAGCCAAGAATGCGTTCCTTCCTCTGTGTGGGTCTCTGGCACATTGGTGTTGGGCCTGCAGAGATCTGCAGCCCGTCCACACGTGTTGGTCTTTGTGTACACAGCATGAACCTGCTCCTGCGGAAGTTTGTCCTTCTCACAACCCTGCTGCCCATAGAGTTTGATTTTCCCATCCCTACTTCATCCGCAGATGCTGTGTTTCCCTGCTGTCCTGCTGGAACGTGGTTACGGGACGACAAACCTCTACCACATTCACGTTCTTATGAGTGTGCAGTGTCTGCAGCTGACGCCAGGACTTTATGGTGTGATGTACATGCAAGGCAGTAGGTGACATTGAAGGGTTGGGCAATGAAACTGTGAGCAAGCTGTGTGCATGTGGAGCAGACACGAAGATGCTATCGACGATCAGTGTTAAGACATGCAATTCATGCATGCGCTGAAGCGTTATTTCTAGGGCAATCACGATGTGATGCATGGCAAGCAATCTCCATGCATTCACTGGACTGATACCAACAATTGGCGAAACGCCTCAATGCATGGAACTTAGCTCTTGCCGGGTGCATGTGTGTATGCACAGATGCAGTACTCAGGGGCCTTAGAACGCATGTTGATTGCTGTGCGCCGCCATTCCCAGCCACCACTAACGAAATACAACTTTCT